ATACCAAGTTTGAAGTTCCTAGGCCTAAGGGTTCTATTGTTATTGATCGGAAACCGTTTTTACCAAAGAGGTCAATGTGACCTTGACCTTTGACCCCTTGACCCCAAAATCGTTAGGGGTCATCTACTGATCATGACCAATCACCATACCAAGTTTGAAGTTCCAAGGCCTTAAGGTTCTTTACTTATTGATCGGAAACCGTTTTTGCTTACAAGGTCAATGTGACCTTGACCTTTGACCCCTTGACCCCAAAATCAATAGGGGTCATCTACTGATCATGACAAATCACCATACCAAGTTTGAAGTTCCTAGGCCTTAAGGTTCTTTAGTTATTGATCGGAAACCGTTTTTGCTTACAAGGTCAATGTGACCTTGACCTTTGACCCCTTGACCCCAAAATCAATAGGGGTCATCTACTTGTCATGACCAATCACCATACCAAGTTTGAAGTTCCTAGGCCTAAGGGTTCTTTAGTTATCACTCGGAAACCATTTGGTCTACGGACGGACCGACGGACCGACGGACCGACAAGTGCAAAGCAATATACCCCCTTTTTTTCAAAAATCAGAAAATTTGGCAAAATGTGAGGACTTCCCATTTGCTTCATCTATATGTTAAATAAAAATACCATTTAAAATGCCTACTTTGTCATTAGATAACATTTCATTCATATGTATTACTGACTACTTAAACTATGTCCCAGTTATTGACATTATTATATAATACTGTATCTATTCTAGTCAGCCTGTGACAAATCCTATTAAAAAATTAAACACACAATTACTTACATTTGCTAACAGTTAAAGAAATTGTAACTTTCAGATATTAACCGAAAATACGACTTCTTCATATAAACTTAACAAACTTTAACAAAACGCACTTTAAGAACGATTATTTATCTTCTATCCGAAACGCGGGACAAATTACGCACTGTTACACTAACCAGCTAACACGTGAACTGGGTGACAATTGGCAAAATAAAACTTTACCGATTACCTGTTAACTTTCCTTTATTTCTGTTAAACTGAAATGTTGTATTTCCAACTTTAAACACAAATTTCTTTATAAAATTATTCATGAAGTTTCAGTTTTTGACATTTTCAGCCGGTGTGTACTTAACACTTGATTTATATCAAGATATTTTTAGATTACAACTTTAATCGAGTAAATATTGTACAAGGAAAAATGAATGAATGAAAAACAAAACAACGCTATTGCCCAAGGCCATTTCTAAAAGACTAGCAAACCCCTTTAAATTGGGGATGTTAACTAATTGGCGATGTACTGGTTTTTCATCTACATCTACATTATACTGCAGGGTTTTCTGTTGGTTACAGATTAAAATTTCATTCAAATGTCTGGATACTGTATAAAAATAGGTTGTAACCTAAACTGTTGTGATTAAAAAAAAGAAGAAATTTATCGTATATCCGTAATAATTTCATAATTATTTAGTCGCTATCATACCAGGCTACTGTACGAATGCCAGGCAAACTCTTTTGCGTTTACTTGAGGATGGAACATACGATACGTATAGTACATCCCAGCTTGAGGACTGGAAGATGGCGTTCTTGAAAGACAGAAATGAGCATTTTGCAGCAACCCTAATGGGTCCGTCCAAGGCTTTTGACCGTCTACCGCATGATCTCACAGTCCACAACCTAGGGGCATATGGGGTGCCTGAAAATGTATGTGGTCCAGTTTCAAATTATCTATTTAACAGTAAACAAAAAGTTAAAATAGGAGAATCCATTCTTGGGCCCTTGATCTTCAACATCTTCATGACTGATATCTTTTACTTTATAGACTTTTTAACTCATTTGTTTTATATAAAGTAAACAATGTAAATTAGTTATAATGAGGTGATATTTCAGTAAATATTGATCTATAAGTCCACCCTTTACAGTTATGCATATATGACAATACTCTAGCCTTCTCCAACTCAAACTTAGACCTAATGAAATAAAACTTGGAAAATGAAAGCAAACTAGATTAATATTAACTGGTTCAACATGAATAAAATGCAACCTAACCCGCTCATGTTTCAACAATGTCAAATTAATAATGTAATAATAAATTGTAAATATTGTGTGTAAAACTGCTTGGGGTAGACATATACTTTTTTTACTTAACTTTTATAAACAGATCACCAGAATGTGTATCAATTAAATGTGCTTTTAAGAATAAACGGTTTAATTTGAATTCAGAATGTTTACTTCTTGTTTATAAATCTTTTATTAGATATAACTTTAACTGTTGTCCATTGAAAAAAGTAAATATGCTTACTCTACATTTTTAAATCTAGAATCAAAACGTGTTCAAATACAGTCACGAAAAATCACCACCATAATTATATAAGATCGTTAATGATTTCCTAGTAGTTCAATTAAAAAAAATCCAATTACTCTTTTAGGTATCAAAGAAATGTAGATATACCGATGGTCAAAACAGTATCATACGGTAAGAATTCTTTTAGGTTTGAGAAACAGTATCCCATATTACACCGAAAGGTTGAAAATAACAAAGGTTTTAAAGAGACTTATCCAGGTAGTCGTAAATGGTGTACATTTAAAAATTACTGCTTACTATAAGAAACTGTCACATTATCAAATTGATTTAAAGAGGTCTCTCATCGAATTCAAGACCTCGTTTATTTTGGCAGCAACACCTTATTTGCATATATTGGTCTTATTGGCCTTCCGTGCATCAAAATAGTAAACATCACAGAAATCAACTTGCATACATATTTAATATCATACAATGAATTTCCGATTTAAAATTTGTAGGTCATTTTTGGTATATGATAATTAAGCTTTAAGGACATGAAGAGTGACATGTCCGGGGTCAGTAAACTCTCAGTGCCTGAAAAGGCGGATGGACCCATGTAGTCCCTCAATGAGCATAGAATATTCACATTCCATTCCTTCGTTAGTCCTCTTTAATTCAGTTACATTTAGAACTCTCATTTGAAAAAGCTGAAGTAAATTAATTTTTGATATTTTCGATTATATTGGAAAGGTCTTCAATTTATTTATTTCAGGCTTTGAATAATTGTAACGTTAGTATTAATATATGAATTAGGGAGCTCTCCAATTATGTAAAGATCCAGTTATCAATTACATAACAATGTTATGCGCGCTGTAATTATTTTAAGATATCTAAGTGAAATCGAGACCTCTACGTTATTTGATAGTTCTTTCATTATTTAAAGAGCTCTTCAAATATACTTTTGTTTGTTTTGAAAGAAGACATGTTTACAATAGGCACAATTTCAATAAAAAATATTTAAATATTGATAAGAAAAACAATAGATCCGAATCAGTTATATATTCGTATTTCTGAAAAACACAATTTTAATAGAGTTCTAGTTGCTCCACTGAAGCATAAAAGCAGAGATGTAGATGTTATCTATGTCTCTGATAAAAGCCCATAAAACATGAAAGTTGAAATTCTGTTATAGCAGCAATTAGGGCACTTAAAATTGAAAACTATCCAAATATAATGCAGAAATTTATTCGGAATTAAAGTGAAAATTAACTTTTCGAGTGATTCGTAGCCTTATTTTCCCGTAAAACGTTTCAACTATTTTTTTTGTTTTAGGTCATTTATTTTCATAATATAAATTGTTATTCTAATAAATTAGCAAAAAACACGCACACGTGTACGTTATCGGTCCAGACTTCATCAAATGGTGTATAAATCTCAAACAAATAAATTCTGATCCCTCCATGGCATTAAACCACAGTGGAGTGTCTTTGTTATATGAGCCGCGCCATGACAAAACCAACATAATGGGTTTGCGACCAGCATGGATCCAGACCAGCCTGCGCATCCGCGCAGTCTGATCAGGATCAATGCTGTTCGCTTACAAACCCTATAACAAGTAGAAAAAGTAGATAAGCGAACAACATGGATCCTGATCAGACTGCGCGGATGCGCAGGCTGGTCTGGATCCATGCTGGTCGCAAACCCATTATGCTGGTTCTGTCGTGACGCGGCTCATATTTTGTTATTCTTGGCTTTAAATAAGTTGTGCTCATTCTATGCATTTAAAAAGTCTTTCCATGTAGCTATTTTGTAAGAATTAAATTGCAAAGCGCGGAAATTAAATATTCTAAAGCGAGTGACATGTACATATCGACTTTAAAGATAATAATTGCGGAACTAGATGTAGTAGATTTATTTAGTTTTAATTTAATAATTTTTGCTAGGGTATTAGTTTTGTTTATTAGTATTGTTGCCACAAGGCAATATATTAAGCTGAAAATATCGAACACAATTTTTGGAGAGCAGTTCAAGTTACTTAGGGATTAAATGCCAATACACCGATATGGTCAACAGGTCAGAGGTGCGAATTAATATAATTTTAGTGCTATACTTCTCAGAAAAAATACAAAAAGCCAATCTAATTTTACGAATATAATTTCTCCTTTCTACTAAAAAACGTATTAACATTGTATGACGTCAAGACCATGTGGCAAATTCGCCCAGGAATTAAAATTCATCTCGTCTCATCCTTAACTCGCATCACGAAATATAGGAAATAAATTTCTTAATACCCTAGCTAGCTATATATATACATGATATTGAAACAAAAATCTAAATGAAAATTAGCCCCATGAAAGCTTCGTTGTCTCTCCGAGTACAAGTATTACATATATTGCTCTTTTGCTGTCAGAAGCACTGTTTACTTATTTATTAACATACAAATTGCATAATTTGTACATTCATTATGTTGATTATACTTTTATATATTTGTCTTATTAGAGATATGGTGATATTTATCCCCGGTTCAGTTACTACAGATTCGACAAACACCCATGGCAATATCATACTATCCGAAACCTTTTTGAAGAATTCACTTTCATTTTTTACGGTCCCCTTTCTTTTTTTAATAAGTATAACGAACAAACTTGGAAATGATTTTCGTAGCACACAAGGCGACATTATGCTTTTCGATTCTTTCAAAAATGCACACATTCATTCATTTTTTATGTTTAATGGTTTCGCCATTTTTACCAGGTAAGTGATATTATTATCATTATTATTATTGTTATTATTATCCTGAGGAAAACTTTATGAATATATTTTATTAATTTTATGAAAAATAGACACACGTAAAGATGCACCGAAGGCAATTAAAACGAATCAGTCACTTCCCACTAAAGTGTTTACTTGGATATATGTACGACGTATATATCGACGTTTTATATATATTTTAGCATACCTTATGCATTGGAAATAACTTAGGAAATAATCTCTCCCACCATGTCATCATGGAACATGAATGGAGCCTATTCAGAAATGAATAAATTTTTACTCCTACATAGAAAGGGCCTCAAAAGGAAGAGGGCGGGGGGGGGGGGGGGCAAAAAGCCGTCAAAACACATCTATCTATATGAGGTGAAAGGTTAAATGAAACAAACTTTTGATGGCATCTGTTTATAATGTAGTGTTTTCAGATTATCATGGTCCTCATAAATATAATGAGTAATTTATCGTACATGCTTTTTATCTTTTGAGCACTACACTGTGAGCTGCATGTATAAGAACTTATCGAAATGTCTGACCATACTCAATATTTTTAGACCCACAATTCAAATACATGTAAAAATGAACATCCCCATGCTGCCATTGGCCATAACTTAGGATAAGTTTGTAATGTACATTGCATAGAGTAAGAATTTAATGATCTATTCTTTTTTTTTTCAGTTCAGATCAGTTGCTCCTCCTCGACAGGTGGATATTGGAAGGAATGTAACGGCGTGTTTTATTATTTTAGTGCTAAGAAATATAACTGGGATGACTCTTTGCAATTTTGCGGTCATTTAGCAGACGACACTCATGTAGCTGACCTTGGCAAACAGCCGGTAGATTTAGCAAAAAGTTGTAGCTTTGATTTAAAAGACAATAGGCAATACTGGATAGGTAAGATTTAAGGATCAAAGATTAAAGATCTGTTGAAAAGTCCAAGTATTTATTTTTAAATTTTTAAAACATTACATGCATAGAAAAAGTTTATATTTTTTCGATTTTATTCCATTTCTTTGAATTGTTATTATGTAAGTAACCTTTAGTTATCTATATTGGTTTTAGATATAAAATGATCGAACGTTATTCTTATCTAGACATTCAAAAAGTGTAGACGTCGATCTAAAATTGATACTGTCATCCTTTTTTCCGTTAGAATGCTGGTACGGGCAGGCACAGAGCGATTGTACAACATTAAAAAAGCAAAGGCAAAAATTAGAACGCCGTCTAACATCATGCAATACCATCGCATATCCTATATGCGGAACAAGAAAAAGGCCTATCAAAGCACTGCCAACAGACAAAAAATCAACACCCGCACTAACATCGAAGAAACCTACGCGCGCACAAATAACAAAAGGCTTAAAAACCACATCAACAACGCATGTTCAGGCAACAACATCTCGAAACACGGTGCAAGCAACAACAAAGGTAACACATGTACCAACAACAAGAACGTTAACGCGTGCGCCATCAACAAGAAAATCTACACGGACACATACAACAAAACCGACCACACAGGCACCGATAACAAGAACGAAAAAGCATCTGCAAACAACAATAAACTTAACACAATTGTTTTCAATAAGAACAAAGAAGCAAACGAATACTCCAAAACCAAAAATGTCAAAGCATGTAGCAGCCAGTAAAAAGTCAATGTTTCCGCCTACAACAAAATTGTCAAAGAACGCGCCAACAGCAAAAACGTTAAGCAATGCGGCAACATTTAGAAATTCAAAACATAAGCAAACAATGAATAAGTCAAAGTCTATGTCAGTAGCTCGAAATATAACGCATGCAACCAAAACGGTAGCGATCGTACCAATAACAAGACAGTCATTGCACACACAGACAACAAAAACGCCAACAAAGGAACACACAGAAATAAAAACAACAGAGACACAAACAGCAAAACATACAACAGAGGCACAGACAGCAAAACATACTTCATACTATCAGCAAGCCACGTGGAAGACAAAAAGGACAACAACGACAGTGCCGCCAACAACAGGAACAGGCATGGACAAGATTTAAATAATAAATATAATAATAAAGTTTAAAAAATGCGTTTTATATCTTTCATCTTTGCTCGTGAATTTACATTTACAAACTCTGTCGGGCTGTTTAAAATAGGTCACATTTAAGACTTTAAAACCTGTCAGATATAAATGCGCTAGATAACAATATATATTCATATATAGATACTCTACTTTATCGAATTTACTCATTTTTTTTCAGATTATTCTTGGGTTCGAATCAATACAAGTGAATATTTTGTCAACCATATATTGTACAATTACACTTTTGCCAGAGAGTATTGCATACGGACAAAGAATGCATTTCTTATGACGTCACTAAGTCCTGTTCGCTACATTCAAATTCTGTCTCGACTTAATCTACGCGACGGGAAATACTGGATCAAAGGTTTGTGAGAATACTGATTAAGGGGAGTAACCGTTGCAAGGAGTTTGTTATGAGGTTGTAAATTTTTACGCTATTGTAAAAAATAATAACGGGAGCAATGACATTAATTTCAATGAAAAAATGTTTTAATGACGTAAACCATTTAGAAAAATGCTAGAATATGTAAACAAATATCTGCAAGGGATTTGCGGCTATGATCGGAATATCTGTCCCTCGTTACCGCCAAAGTTGCGGGTACCCTCTAGACGGATAGTCCGATCCGAACTGCAAAATATGACAGATCTTCTTATTCTCGTTTAGCTCTTTTATCAATCTTATTAAAATCAGCTCTAAATAAGGTTCCGCATTTAGATCTGACCGCGACCAAATACGAAATCATTTCTGGTGACATTGTACACAGCCAATCATCGGCGAGCTTTCATAATTTCTAATTTTAACCTCGGGAAAACCAATGCTGAGTAGGTGATTTTTATGATTTCTAGAACAAACATGGCAAGTTGGCAAAAACAGTTTTGCCTAAATTATCTCTATTTTTACAAGTTTATTTGTTAAGAATTACTTTAAATAATTTTATTAACAAAAATCAACAAGTTGTTTGACGTTCACGGATAATTGTATTTTGATAGTTCTTCTAATGTCTATGTTAAAATCAATTTGATTGCATGGCTAATCGAGAAATCCGAATTATAAGTTATGGAGGCGAAACATATACGGTTGTCATCAGATCTACATAAAGAAATAAGTAGACATGAACTTTATTCAGATTTGTCTTTAAATGTGGTTTGACCAACATCTGCATTAATATTTTAAAAGAACTATAATTACATCGAAAACATTACACATATTTTTCAGTGCTTTGCAAGTACATGACATATGTGTATATTTTTTCCATCCTTTTGCTGACCGGCTTGATCTTGATCTAATGAATATTTAATTTTCTGAAAAAAAGAGAAAGAACAATAACAGCATAAATAGAGCAACAAAAAGCAACAACAAAAAAACAACAACAACAACAACAGCAACATGAACAATAACATGAAACAAAAAAAAAACCAAAAAACAAAACAAAAAACACAACAAAACGTTAATGCGCACTGCTGTTTCTATCAGGATACAATATGTTTTTGCCAAATAACATTGTTTGGTTTGATGTTTGATATCTGGAAAAAAATTCCATATTCTGCTTCCCTTTCTTGATCTTGTTGATATTTACTGTGATTTTGTATCGTATGTTACTGTAAAGTAAGCAAAATGAAGAAATTTAAAAACTAATGATTACAATTCAAGCTATATTTTCGAGAAAGTGAAACAAATACGTATATTTTCAAGTCATTTTATGCTTATTTTGAAAACACGGATAATATTACTGAACGATATAACCTGTATCAAGAGAATAAATATAAGTGATGTATCAGTTGTGATAAAATGAATAGTTATAATTTCAGCTCATGACAATGCTCTTTCTGCCCAAGGATGCCTCACATACGACAGCCTGAAACGGTCATTATCCCAAAGCAATTGTTCACGAGCGTTATATAGCGTATGCAGTAGGTCAGTGTTTGGTAACAACGACACCGATATACTAGAGAACGCTGTCTTTAAACAAATGTTAAAAGATATGACCCTGGATAGAACGAACACAGCCGTTAGTAGACGACATCGGATGAGCATAAATAACGATCACCGTTGGTCTGTGAGAGCTACTGGGGTTATTGGCCTGCTAATTATTGGTGTTGTTATGGGTTTAATGGTACTGAGTGACTTGACAAAGCTAAGTGGTTGTCAGTGTTACAGGTTGTGTAAATGTTGTAAAAGAATATCTCGTACGTCGAAAGATAAAAATTTAAAAATGTTGAACAAAAACCCGCAAACTTCAAGCCAATGCTGAAAATATGCAAACAGTATTTCTTAAAGATTGTAGCATTAGAATATGAAGGTCATATTGACCGTCTGCATCGAAATCACCACAATATTTTTAAGACAAGATAAAAGTAATTTTGTTATGAAACAGACTATTCTTCGCGGGTTCACATTTGTTGCGAGTACTTGTTTGTTCGATTTTATTCTTCCGCAATTACTGGAATGTCAGCTGTTCTCTCAGTTACTTGTACTAATTTGATACTTATTGTTTTCATCGCTCTGATCTGAATGAAATTCAATTCTGTAATTTATTAAGTTATTTCATAATTATGTGGAATAATTCATTACAAATATTTATATTTAGTTTCATAATATTTTATTGTATACTTTGTACATGAAAAAATTTACACAATCTAACATCATACTACAATTTACATACAGAAGAGTTGGACCAAAACTTATGGGAGCTTCCTTATGGGAGAATTCACAGAATAGTTTTGACAATTTTGTTTTTCCATTTTCTTAGTTTCTTTTCCCACATTAAACGTTCGACGCACAAAACTGCAATCAAAAATACGAACAATAAATATCCTCTCCATTAACATGCACTGATCTTAAAAGCAATGCCACATTGCGACGAATACAGATCCTCAATCATGAAGTTGGTTATAAAATAACAACCTCGTCACCAAGAAGATATTGCCTCTCAACTCGCATTATTTGGTGTTACTGCTACCACTTTTTTTACTAACTAACCCTTCGTACTTGTCACTGTCGAATAACTCTTTTTATTGTGATGGAAATATGTTCTCCATTCATTGCATGGATAGTGTAAATATTATAGTCAGGTTTCATCATTTCGGACACCCACTGCCCATATTTACCATTTTGTCACTGGCATTGGAATATGTCTTAGTTTGTGTCATAGGAAAATTCATATTGTCATCAATGATAAAACGAGTGCAACGGCGAGTGTTTTGAAAAACGTTGACTTTATTATGACGTTGCATTAAATTGACATTCAGCGTGCGCCGGCGTATGATAGGTGGGTGTTTTAATTCTTCATTTACATGTATTTCTTGTTATTTGTTTTCTACGAAAACACACATATTTGATGAAGAAGAAGTAGAACTCTAACAGAGATGCATTATAAAAAATATTTCCATGATTGGTAAAACATAATCATTGTCATTGCCAAAGTAATGTAGACTTTTTAAACATAGGCTCTAGAATAGCAATCTCGTCATCACCAGTCGTTAAGGCACATTATGCCTCAGGTTGACTTTATATCTCAGTTACTTTTGATATCCTATCATAGTTTCCAACAAGTTGCCATAGATTCACTTACGTATTTGCCAGTTAAACGAACCATACTTTGATCTGTTGTTCTTCGGCACATAACACAGTTATAGTTTTTCAGTATTTGTATGAAAGACAAAGTTGTTATATGACAAAAAATGTCGCATTAAGCACCACTTCTTTCAGATATTAAGCATCTAAGATGCTCTAAAAAAGAGAAAAACAGAACCCTTAAAGAACGCATAGAACGACGAAACTGTAAGCTACCTACCATGCAATCATTATTAAAAATCATAGCAGATAAGGAAAATTGATTCATTTCTTTGTACACATCATTTGATTCCATATGTATATCATCCTAATATTTATATAAATGGATATTTTAATGCATTCGATGTACGAAACACATTTTATACACTCTTTACAATTAATCAAAACTTTGACCCCAATGCTGCTAGATGTGAATGTTTTACAAGCCTCGCCTTGACAAAACCAACATAATGCATTTCCGATCAGCAGAGATCCAGTTCAGCCTTCGCATCCGGTATCAGTTTCTCTACTTGTTATAGGGTTTGTAAGCGACAAAACCAACATAATGCGTTTGCGATCAGCAGAGATCCAGATCAGCCTGCGCATCCGGTATCAGTTTCTCTACTTGTTATATGGTTTGTAAGCGACAAAACCAACATAATGCGTTTGCGACCAGCCTGATCAGGATCCATGCTGTTCGCTTACAAATCCTATACCACGTAGAGAAACTGATAGCGAACAGCATGAATCCTGATCAGACTGCGCAGGCTGATCTGGATCCGTGCTGATCGCAAACGCATTATGTTGGTTTTGTCATGGCGCAGCTCATATATACACACACACACACACACATATATATATATATATTTGTGTTTGTGTGTTCATACACTTATTGATAGACTGGCATCTGTCCTTACGAATAATATCAGTATTATTATACAAATGTTGACTTTTTGTATCACTAAGTGATAGAATTCCTTGTTAACTTTTTTGTATTGCTAAAAAATACTGTGTTACTTAATGATTTATAAAGTATTGATATTGACCATTTGGCTAAATTAAATGCTTATTTGTTCGCATGGGCATACTGCCCGGATGTAATCTGAAATAAACTCATGAAACACATAAAAATATTGCGTAACCCTTTTATTTAGAAAGAGCTTTATCACTAGAATTCACCAAGATCAGCAGGCGCGAAAGTACAGTTTTACTTATATTACTTTGATTGATATATTTCTCCTGTTTAGTTCCTTGACATTGAGATAACTTATACAACGACCGTGTTATGGGTTGTACTCAAGTAAGTATGGATCATTCACATTAATTTTTTCCGCTAAATGAGAATCAAAATTGTTCGAATGGCACTATTATCTCTTTCATCTCAGGCATCAGTGGCTTATGCCGTAAATTTCCACACTCTATTGTCATTTGTTGAGTACTAATGCGTTCTTTTCAGCGTGATTATATAATTCAACACTGTTGAAAACGATTGGAAAGAGAAAAGCTCATTATAAATGCTTATATATGAATTCTTTTTGTTTTTGATTCATTTATGCCAAACAATTTTTATATTTTTAAAATGTTATCGTATGTCCCAGCTTTAACTCACACCAACACTATTAATAAGCAACTCATTACAAGGTTATATATATTTTTGATGCCTGAAAGGTTTAAGGTTATAAGGACTGTAATGTCCAGACCAAAATTCAGCCTTCAGGTAGCAGGAGATTCTACCAATGGAAGCCGTGCAAACCGAGATCAACTAGTCGTGTTGTCTGGCCATGATTTGCTCTGATCGCTCTTCAGTTTCTACATATTTTGAATTTTGCCTTAAATGTTTTGTTGTCCAGGTACAAGGTGGTTCCACAATTAAAGATATTTAGGGTTGTAATGATTAAAACATAAAATGTGTGGCGTTTAGTTAATTCGTAGTAAACGTTCTGGAAAAAGTTCAAGAAAAAACAACAAAAGAAAACATTATTACCAACATCAATTAAACCACATGATGATTCTTCAAAGAATAAGGAATTCCATAGCCAAAGGTAAGTCATGGTTAACATTTTACGGGTGGTGTGTTTCCACATCTTCATAAAAACAAAATATGATATCAGGAAACAAATAATCAACCAATTATTGTATTAATTGGGAACGTTTAATATATAATGTACTATTTAATTAAGTACCAGTATTTGCTATTTTACATTTTTAAAATCGGAATGCCTTTGATTTTCGAGAAATAAAAGGTATTATAAAGACAGAATGATACATAGAAAGTATTATGATACTTTGTCCACCATTATATAGGGTGCAGGATTTTGTAATATTATCGTTTGATAATTCCATATTAATTGCAGACTCTAAAAAATATAAATAAATCAATACTTATATTGATAATATTCAAAATGATGAAACTTGTAACACGTTAAAAACAGTTCATCTGAGGCCCAGAAGCCTAAATACACTAAATTTTGAAAATCTTACATAGAACAACTTAGGCACTTAAAATTGAAAATAAGAAAAATATGTAAATATGTATTCAGACTATCACCGAAATCAATATCTAAAACGATTCTTAGTCTTGTCGAGTGAAATGTGTGTCATTTTCAAATCATTTTTATCTTTATCAGAAACGAATATTCTTGAAAACCTTATTGAGCGAACGATCTGAAATTTTACACATTAGTAATGAAACAAAGAAATTGAAATCAGAAAAAATGTGCATTTATTCTGACATGTTTTGTTCAAGTAATCCATGTGGTTCATTTTAAATCAGTAATCATAACAACGATATTAGCGATGATAAAATCTTTATTTCAAGAAGTAACTTAAAAAAGCAAAACAACAATTACAAACCCACCCACAAAGAAAAAGCCACACACAGAGAAAAACTCACTAAAGGCGTTTTAAAAAATGACTTCATCTGGCCAGAGTCTTCCTTAATATGTAATGTTCAACTAGGAGCATAAACGTATGGATGGACTGATATCTAAACTATCACATGGTATAGCAAGTCCTTATTAGAAAAAACTTTATAAAATGCAATATTATAAGAAAATTGATAAACAATGTTTAGATCAACAAATGTCGATATCAAAGTTTTATTTGAAGTTATATTTGAATAATTATCCTCCTGCGTTGCCATCTCTTACAGGACTGGACTTTCTTTGTTGTCTAAGGTGCTTCCACATAGATTGCACGTGCTCTTTTGTCATCTTGAATTGAACTGGTTCATACTTGTACGGTTTGAGGTGGACATCTGTCTCATCCAGTTCATTGTCTGTTATAATGTTTGCTGAAAGATAAAAACATATATGAAAGAAAATTTGTTTTATGTGAATGAAAATAAAATCTCGCTTAGAAAATGATAAGAAAATAATCGCAATATTAAATTATGTGTTATTCCTATCTTCCCCATCCTATCAACCCAACCATAGCAGACATACACATTTAGAAAATTGCATACGTAATAAATTTAACCATGCACCACAGATAAATTTCCGGAATTTGAAAAGGATTCTATTTCTGTCATATCAAATATTTGCATATACACATACAGATGTCTATTCATTTTTTACAATATTTTCTATGTTTAGGTTTAAGTATCTTATCACAAAAAGAGCAGAGAAATATATAGCTATGGTGAATAAATTTGTGTTTTAATCGCAGAAGCTTATGATAATAAATAACATGCAAATGTGCACTTTCTTATCGGTAACGTTCATATTCTTTCGGGTAATGTATTCACTTTATTTCCATACCCGTGCCGCTTTAACGACTCCGTAAAAATGGTATTGCCTTTTCAATACTCGCTACAGCTGCTAAGTGAGGGTAGCAAATTTTACGAAATCATACGCAGTTATCTGAACAACAAAAAGAAGAGCGGGCAAAACATCTGCCATCATTTAAATTAAAACCAGGTTTCTTACCGCCTATCCAGAAAGAATTGGCTTTAGAAACGGGATTAGAAAATATCCTAAAGTAATTAACGAAACTGCTGGTTTGCTTGTACACGCTGCAATTGTAATTGATGAAGTATTTCTTCTTGCCAACTTTAAGCCAGGCTGGTTCTCCTATTATGTAGAAAAGGTAATTTAATTATAACAGAATTATGATGTCCAATGATAAGAAATTAATATTTTGTTAACAACAAGAAGATTTCGGAATAAATAAAAAAGCAAGCATGTGTTTTTCAAATATTTCATTACATTTTATAAAAAAAGAAAAGATTTGAACTGAAGAAATAAAAAGTGCAGAGCTTACCCGAAGTTTTAGATAGAGCAAGAGTGTTTACTTTTGCTTTAAAATTTATTAAAGGCTTTGTAGTGCTACTTGATGAGGTATATGTTGGCTTTGTAGTGCTACTTGATGAGGTATATGTCTGTTTTGTAGTGCTACTTGATGACGTATATGTCGGCTTTGTAGTGCTACTTGATAACGTATATGTTTGCTGTGTAGTGCTACTTGATGACGTATATGTTTGCTGTGTAGTGCTACTTGATGACGTATATGTTTGCTGCGCAGTGCTTCTTGGTGACGTATATGTTTGTTGTGTAGTGCTACTTGGTGACGTATATGTTTGCTGCGTAGTGCTTCTTGGTGACGTATATGTTTGTTGTATACTTGACTGTGTTTGAGTTGTCGTGCCCGGTTTATCACTCATGCAGAACATCATAAACTGAAACTGTGCACTTTTATTGGCTGCTATATGCACATAAGGTCCACTGTATTGCATAACACTACCCTCCTCCTTACCCGACGGACACGACACACCTAAAAAAATTAAGGAACAAATTTGAGAATAAACTGCGTTTCAATTCACCAAGAAAAATATTTTAAGACATGTACAACTTATTTCGAAAAAAATCCCACCCCACCCCCCAAAAAAATACAACAACATAGAATAACTCTTCTTTTTCGTTTGTATTTTTCTGGTCGGTCGTACATATACCTCATTCAAAACTTATTAATAGCAAAAGGATGGGTATCTTAGGCAGAAAGAAAAAGAACAAAAAACTAGTTTTAGTATTTAAAGAGAAATATTTAGTGCCACCCCTTCGGTAGAAAACGCAATTGAAAATCATAATAGTTTAAGAAATAACATCAACTTTGTTAGTATGGCATGGAGAACCAAAATAAAATCCATTCAAAATCAGTTATCCCTAATATCAATTCAGCTTTGGAATGAATTATCAATAAATTTAAGAGGACCAGACACTTGAGCAAAGTTTAAAAGAAAACTGAAAGAAATGTTTAAATCTTCCGTCTTTTTTATAAACAGTGAGCGTTCACCAACAGTACACCACAGACGCCTTAGAAATAATTGCAGGAGTTTTAATTCCGACTTGTATAACAATCATATTGTTCAAACAAAACCAAGCTTTTGAATGTGGTGCTTTTAAATTAATAGAAGACACTGAACATTTTTTTTTATTTCATTGCCAAAACTATACCATCAAAAGATAGATCATTTTAGAAATACTAGAGAATTCTACCCTCTCGGGACAGAAAAGTTACTTTTTGGTGTAAATACTTTAAATGTTTCTCAAAACATGTCCCTCATTTTATTAAAGAAATGAAAAGGTTTCGATAATTTAACATCATTTTGAATTTCTTTTTTACTTTGTTTTTATAATTCTATACAAATTGATATTACTATCGTCAATTGTTTTAAACAATAATAAGAATTTTTTCAGAACCCTCAAAAACAGAAAAAAAAACTTTTAAGGAAAATTGTTTGAGTAAAAATATTAAATTCTCTTTAATCCACAGAAAATTTAAAAAACTACAAATAGCTTTTTTAACAAAAAAATTTTCTTGTAAAAAAATTTTACATGGAAAGTTCCGGTTTTAAGTCTTGCGGGCCCCCTATAAGTATTTTTCCAGAAAAAACTGAACATTTTTTTTTGCATGTTTTTAGTAGAACATAAAATAAAACCCTGTAAACACTTTTAGAAAAAAAAAATTCAATTAAAATTGAACATATTTTGAAACTGTTGACTCAACATTAAATTGGAAATTTAACATTTACTAAAAAAACGTTAAATTTTTAAGCGAAATTCTTACCAACCCAATTTTAACCATTTTTTAGGGTTAAAAAACCCCAAAAAAAACCCATTCCCCATTTTTTTTTTTATAAATGCCATCCCTTTTAATTTAATTTTGAAATTTTTTTTCAACATTTAATCTTTAAAGGATTAAAATGAAAATTTTTTTCTCGGTAAAAGAAAATTCATTTTTTGTTTAAAAAAGAAGTTTTTAAAAATAAAAAACACACGCAACAGAGGGAAAGTATAAAAATTTCAGAAAATTATTAATTTACTTATTAATAAGTTTTTTTTTCGTTTTTTTTTCTATTATTAATGTTTTAGTTCTCAGTATAAAATATAATATCATACTTTGCAAATGTCTCTTTTTTACATTGAAGTTTAGATAACATTACAGTCAGCTTTTTATGGGAGGGGTCAAAACCTTTTGAATATTAAAAAAATGATTGAATGAAAAGGAAATACCTGGACTGTTTAACCAAAATTCGACTTTCATGCGTCCTGTTATTCCAAGCTCTTTGCCCAAAAGTCCCATATAAGTGTAGTTTCCGCCAGCAAATAACTGACCACGCATTTTGTTTTGGCATTGATATTTTGCATGACAATAGGTGTATTCAGTGCGAGATAACTTGTAATATAGCCCTTGTCCACCAACTCTAACCCAATCTGAAAAAAAGTAACCCAAGAGAAATACAAAACTAAAAAATCAAAATTTAAGAATTTAAGAAAAATTCATTACTTATTGATTAACAATGAACTGTTTGCATGAACCGAGTAATTTTATTAAATCATATAATTATCATTAGCTGATGAATGGCTTGTTATATTGTTACACAGCGGATAGATCTGACCTAACGAATCTACCACTTATTTTTGCTTAGCCTGTAAATAAACATCAGCCAAAACTTCATGCATTTTATTTTATTAATAAGGAAATGCAGTATACGACTAACTCGTATATGAACAAATTTACTTAGTTCTCAATCTAATCTTAATCTTCTTTAATGATATACAAATCACAGAAATTCAAACAAGTAGTTTATTATACATGTATATAATTACTATATTTTTGTAAAAAAACTACACCCAACAACCAAATGAAGTTTCTTTTAAATTAAAACATCACACAAACAAGCCGATAAACCAGCAGGAATGTTAATAAAAACATATTTCAGTACATTAGAATAGTTTTTTTGTAATCTTTTCTCAAATTAGAGTTGTATAAAGAAGATTCCATCGATTTCAAACGGAAACAGAATATTAATATATCAAGAAGATATTATTTTGTGAAGTAAAGTGCTAACCATGATTTAATGTGTGACTACTGTTCGATGTCTTGCAGAATGATTTTTCTTTTTCGCAGATAGGATTCATAAATGACGAGCATTGTTCATTTTGGTTAATGGCCACATTACTTCCATCGAATATAATTGTCCGGCACATAGGCATAGACGGATCTGTAATGTATATGGAATATGTAGTCATTTTATTTAAATTTGAATTAACATGATAAATATAAATTCCGTCTAATATCATTTTAATCAATTTCAGAAGCCAGGTAATTTGGACGTGCACGTAGAAATATATTATTGCTGTTCTTCTGATAATGACACAGTTTGAAATGTATTAGTGATAGTGAGTTCTAGAAAAAAAAACTACAAAGATGATTATTATTATTATTATGATGATGATGATGATGATGATGATGATGATGATGATAATAATGATGATAACAATAATAATAATATTACTGATGTAACATTAACAATGGTGATCTTAGTTTATTGCGAGCATAAGCTGTTTTTGTTCCACATATACACCTATTTTCTATTGAAATAAGGCATAATACGCCTTGCTTGTATAAATCGATTAACTGAATGTGCTCTTTCTTATTACGTGCATTTTCGAGATTATGTATACATTAGTCAAATACAGTACGATGTAGCCTTTGGCCCTGTTTATATCAATATGTAGTTTCATTAGTACAATGACATTAAGTTATTAAATGTGAAAGATATTGCTCACATTCCATATTTATCCAGTATGGTGTATGATCTATCTTGGAAACGTGACATAGATTAAACAACTGTGCAATGCCTTGTGACGTCATGGAACCTAAATCTACTGGTGCACTTCCAGACAAATTCCTACAATGCCCTATTAGGCTGTCATATGGCATTGTGACTTTATCAAAATGGTAACACTTGTCCCTGCATGCATGCCAGCCCGAATTTTGCCCACATTCTGAAACACGAACAATTTTCAGTATGCATACTTGGAATAAAAATACCAAGAAAAACAACAAAACAACATAAAATTTTATGCAATATGGAAAATGGTTATTTACAAGTCATACTGACGTCAATTAAACGTCAAACGTATATAATGTCAAATCGTTGATTACTCGCTAAATGCAGTTCCCTCCTCCGTTTTGAAATAGAAATAGAGTTACATAGTCTAAAACTGCAATGTTGAAAATAATGCTGGCGTAGTTTGATTGAGCTTGTTCACAGTAGTGGTAAATGAAAGCTACCGTTCACATCCCTAGCAACAGCGTAAACAGAATGCAACATCTAAATAAGAAATTGTGAATTTTTTCTTTTTTAAATATTCGTTATAAACATTTTCTCCGATGGTACATTTTGTATTTATCTTTGCAGGTCTAGCGAAAAATAGAAATATATTAATTACATCTATTATATAAATATAATTTTATAATACTACTATATCATACAAAGAATATTGCCAAGATCTTGAAATTAAACAAGTAAAAAGTGAAGTGTGTATATTATATTCATCAAAATCACGATCTATCAGAACTTTCTAATCCACCCATACCATTGCAGTTATGTTAAAAGGCAGGTCATGACTCCATCATGCTTTATGTTAAAACATTTTACAATACATTTTCCCTTTAAATGATAGTCGACAAAGACTTAAATAGAAATGATACAAAGCTTTAATTAATAACAAATAAAATCTTTAAAAATGAAATTACCACATGTCCTGATGAGGCCTGCAACAATTATGACTCCAAGTACTGTTGCAATCATCCTAATGGTGTGTGTATCCTTGTCTTTGCAGTGTGCCATACAATTATTTGCTTGAAAATTTTAATATAAATTCGACAAGTATACAACGATACTATTGGCATATATATCCCTTAAATGTACTTGTAGCAAATAAAAATTAATGATTAAGGATCGTATGAATTATTATTGCATGTAATACAACAGAACGCGGAAAAAAATAAATAAAAATAATAATTTACATTTTTATGAATTTTAATTACATGTAATACTACAGAAAGTGGAATAAATAAAAATGATTTAATATTTTCCTAGTTTTAATAAAGTATATGTTTATGTAAAGTATATAATACAAATATAAGATGATCCTAAATTTTTATCCAAAATCCTATTTTTAATTTTTGATTCAATACAATGAGATACTTTTAGACTCTGCAGGAGAGAAGAAATGTAATTCTTTTATATGATAGAAACGAGATCGAAACAAATCACGTGATCAATTATTTTAACTAAATGTCTAAGAAACCGTTATTGATATGTCTAAGTATTTCAATATCACCATGTAACGTATACCTCTGTAAGGAAGTTTCATAATCAAATTCGCGGCAATAGTTCTTAGTTTAATTATGTTAATGTCGAAAAGGCATTTGTTTTATATTGACGATAGGATCGTGTCAAATATGTTGCACTTCCTTTCAGTATTTAAACTTATAATAAATTTGATATTTTTGCAAAATAAGGTGAACAGTTTTATTTTATTTTTGGGACAGGAATAATTAATTCTCAGCAGGTGGCGGGTTGGGATGGGAGAAAAAAAGAACGAAAAAACGCAAACAAACGACATGGTTGGTCTTTTATAATAAAATCACATGACATTATGGCATCAGCTTAACAATATCAACGGACAATCGTGTATATGATTTGATTAAAGGTATTTTGCAATGTGCTGTTATAATTTGACAAAAAATGTCGTTTACATTGCTCTCCCTTATTACGCCACAATTTCCGTTATTTTTTTGAAAGTCAATATTTTACAATTTGCAATTACGTTAGAGAATCTATTAGGTGTTCACTTAAATTAGTATTATATTTATCTTTTTATTTGTTTATTTTGGAACGCTCGTTGCCAGCTTCATTTTCATTATGGGTTAATCGTTTCGTGAATGTATTTAAGACAAAAACACTAATATTGTAAAATTATTTGTTTCTTCCTTGGGGTAACAAATGTTAGTTTAAGGCCCAATATGCCTCAGAAATGCTTTTTAATTTTTCAAAAGCCTTTTATTTTTATAGAATAAATTAGTATATCCAATAATTCATGATTTTCAATGCCCTTTTGCGTTCTAGATAAATTGCCATTTCCGCAGAGAGTCATCCCAAATAATTTTAAGAATTTTACATCTCCGTCTTTGTTAATAAGTACGGCGGCTTCTGCTTTGGTTTTCTAGGTACACATTTTTATACACGTATCTCACACATTAAACATTTTTTCAGCATTGTAAAGTTTCTGATAAAGTCACTTAATGTGCTTCGTCATCAGTTTATAAGGAAGAGTAGGAAAAACTTTACTTCGTAATAAATAAATATATTGCCTAGATCAATATTAATATTATTCGTGATATCATTCACGAAAAGCATTACAAGTAGAGCAAAACTCGGATCATCTTGTTCTTGACAATAAGAATTTCATGTGTGCGGCCTGTAACCGGTCAAACGGTTTAACAATACATTGACTTTATAGTTTAAGCGAATATGCATTGCGTTTAATTTAGCGAAGTCTGGCTTAAAATCCACTAAAGAAACAAAACAAATATATTCATGATAAATTGTTATTATGTACTCAAATTAAACACCATTTATCAATATATATTTGTAAACATTGGTGTTGGTTATTACACAACATTTAAAACGGTTTCATATTTAAAATGCTTAAAGTGGTTAATTGAGATTTGTTAATAATTATTATGTTCAGGAAGAAAGAACTATAAACATGTGCTATAGGCAAATTTCTGAATAAGATAGAATGGTTGTTTGATATACTTATCTTTGGAACGTTCAAAACAAAACAAAAAATCTCCCGTTATCTTATTTCTTCTCATGATTTTACAATAAAGAAGTTAGCAGATGTTTTAAGCCAAATATGTTCCCATTGAATGGCTTTGAGAAAGAATTGGGAAAATTGAAGATGCCTATAATTGTATTTACAAAGGATGTGTATTTATAAATGTTGAACATTAGTCACTTAAATTCATGGTACAGAAGAATATGGACGTGGTCGAATTTACTGGTAAGTTCGCCAAAAATTGTTCTTGCATTTAAAGCGGCATGCCTGCAGTTGAGATAACAGATTTCAGGAAAATCAACCTTGAGAAAATGTACTAAGATGTTAAGAAAATTAAACAGAATTAATTTTCATCTATTAATCTCCGTGTTATGTGCAACTACTTACTACAGTTTTCTGCAGTATTTACTGCCATATTTCTACTGCGCAGTAGGGGCTATTTTTGCATACTTTGACTTCTTTTGGATAATGTACGTGGATTGTTAGTGTTGTTTAATATGTGCAAATAATTCTATTTGTTCACTTCACAATTACATATTTTTAAATTTTCATGAAATTGTGCATGAATTTGCCAACAACTCTGCAGATTTTATATTCCCCCTATCTGCAATGGAATGTTAAAATTGTATACTGAAATCTGGAAGACATACAAGACTTGCCACTTTTAGTTGTAGGGATGGCGGAGATAAAATAAAAATTCTGTGTGTCAGGTAATGGAAAATCGAATTGTGATTTGTGAATTTCCTTTTATGTCCATACTATTTACCATCAATTATACTTGTGTTATTCCACAAAAACCTTAGGTGTTTAATTGCAACTTTTGTTCAGTTAATATTTCAAATGAAGTTAAGCTTTTTGTTCGTACAAGCTTTGCGAAGTATGTAAAGTCCACGAACTGACAAAATAAGTCTGAAAATTTCACTTCACTTCTTGTGTTATACATTCAATTTACAGCTTCAAACATATCTAAACTGTGATAATTTCATTATGTAAATTTAATTATATTTTCCGTATAAGTTAATCAAAGCATTTCCATTAAATCTTTTTTAAATGTAAATAAAAAGAATTAAAATAGGCTCCTTTAAAAATTATAGTCACAATTCAAATTGCGGCAGCAAAAAAGTCTGAACCTTTTATTGTACATTGAGAGAGGTCTACTACATCACTTTTATTGAACCGTGTTTTTATAAATTAAAATTAAAGCAGAATGCCTCAAGATTCATGCTGATTTTTATGAAAATTTCCAAAAATGTATTTAAAAGTAAAATATTTGGAAATGAACAAAGAAAGTAATTTACACATTGCAAATGGCATTTAAATTCATGTAAATTAGCAAAAAAGGTCAGAATCCTGCGTTAGTAAAAGTACGTTAATAAATACTGCAAAAGTAAGTCGTTAATCGCACACAGCATTTTAATTATTCGGTGAATCTTGAATCCGTTTACTTTTCTTAAAATCTCAGTTATAATTTTTTCAAGTTTGATTTTATTGAAATATGTTGGCTCATCTGGAGGCATGCTGCTTTAAAATCACAACCAATACATTTTGGGACACCCTCGTAAACTATAAATAAAAAACATGATACTTTAATTTTTATTAAACAAACGTAATACACATCTATGTTCAGATATTTAATGAAAATGGACTAAAACAATAAATAAATCTAGTGAAACATAAGCATTATTATAGCTTTATCATAGTTCATAGCTAGAAGCTCCTTTCAAGCGAAATATTTTACTAATTTAAAAACACAGCGAAAATAAATTAAACAGAGGGAGTTCACTTAATGTATAGTTTAAATACAGAAAAAGCCCACCTCAACATAATGAAAATCTTGTGGAATTATTAGTCAATTTATAGAAACAACTAGGTTGACGTTTACATTTCCAAACGTTTTAAAATGAAACGTACCCAAAGGAAAATATAAATTATCTTGACATGGTCTTGTCGTGAATTTGACCTTATACAAATAAAGTTGAATTAACCAAACGGTTATTTAAAAGACACGGAAACATATTAATAAGCAATAAAAAGCACACCAAACAACAAAGCTCAAAATTATCTATGCAAACGGTTGTTTATTATCCTTTGTTGACGTCATTTACTGACTGGGATTCCTTTGCTGACGAAGGTGCCTCCACATAGATTGCACGTTCTCTTTTGTCAACTTGAATTGGACTGGCTCATTCTTGTACGGTATGAGGTGGACATCTGTCTCATCCAGTTCATTGTCTGTTACCATATAAGCTGAAAAATTGATACAAAATCACCGTGTATATCCAGTAAGTCACGAATGTGCAAATAACGCAGGAATTGTGCAAACGTAACGCAAAATTGTGCAGTTTTGTGGCCAAAAGGAGTACCACGAAAAAAATGAACCAATATTTGTTTTTTTTATTGAAAATCAAATTTAAAGAAATGAAAAGCGCATACAAATGTTGAGATATTATGTGTTAAACCTCATCTGAAATATTTCCATGAAAGTTGTTTTGTGAGAACGATGACAAATCTATTGGTGGCGACTTTATATAATTACTGATATTATCAAAACAGTAACGTACCTATTACACTATGGTTTTTGATATTCAGTGTATCGGAGACTTTTGCTAAACTACTCTGGTGATATTACACTTAAATAAGCAGATACAATATAACTATGAACGGTTTAAAGAGGTAACGCCGAATTCGTAAATGATTCAACGAAGCAACGCTGGTTACCTTATCAAAATTACCTGAATATTATTTTACGTACTTCGTTCTATTGTTATTCGACACCAGTATTTTGGCAAATGTCTATGGCTTTCCGATTACGAAGTAAATAAAATTTAAATTGCGTTAATGTATTGATTTATTTCGACGAAACACTGACAAGCAGTGAGAGTTAGTCAGCGAGTGACACACATTGAGTGTTAGTGAGAAAGAGGCATACAGTGAGTGCTAGTCAGTGAGTGATATCATACAGTAAGTGATATAATGTGAGTGATGTAAAGTGTTTTATATACAGTACGATATATAAATTATATTTCACAGATTTATTTTAGAAATAACTGATATAACTACTGAGAAAATGACAGTATGAAGCTTATTCAATTACATAATATTTGCTACTATATCAAATTACAAAGTAATAATCATATAACTTATAATTGTAACTTCCACCGTTGATTAATATCACATAATATAAAGAAGATGACGGCGAAGAACATAGTGATTTGGAAATGGCAAGGGAGAGTACTAAAATAAAGTTATTATGAGAACCTTTCTTAACCAATATTACAAGTGTAACATTTTGCTAAATTGTGTCTGTCCATGAAATCAAAACTTTAAATTATAATCTATTACAAGGGTATCATTTATACAAAATTATAAACCGCAGAATGTAAATAATCTAATAAAATGGCATAACATAATTGGTAAAGTATTTGCAATTTTATAAGGAAACATTCACACTTAATTTAATAGTATACATTTCTTACCTCCAATCCAGAAAGGATCTGCTTTTGATACGGGGTTGGACATTATTCTGAAGTAATTGATGGAGTTGTCTTGCTTGTTCAAAACTGAGGTTGTAATTGACGAAATACTTCTTCTTGCCAACTTTTAGCCACTTAGGTTCAGCTTTATCTTGAGTAAATATGTAGTAAGATAATAGATATTGCTATAAAAATTATAAAAAATGAAATAAACTAGAAAAAGCCATGTATTTGTATTCTTTAAGTGACATTATGCCCATCCAAGGGTATATAGTGAGTGAACAGGTGAATATCAAAATAAGTTACATTTTGCTCCTTTTAATTTAATAATTTACTTCCAATAAACAATAAATAATGCACAGATCCAAATAAATTTTAAGTAAATATCTATTAGAATTTACCCAAAACGTCAGTTTATAAAAAGAGTGGGACAGTCTTTTTATATTTTAGGCAGATTCATAATTTTATCCTGAACGTTTTCCAATATCAACTGTTGGTCACAAACACCATTTTAACAGTCAATCTGTTGAAATATAAAGTCAATTCAGCTGAATTTGACAACGAAAATATGACCATAATATCACTTTAACATTCAAATCTGAAAAAGTGGCAAAAAGGGCTTACCCGACATTTTCGAGAGAGCAAGCATTGCTGTTATTGCTTCCGGTTCTGGCTGCCATTGAGGTCCAAATTGCGATGATGAATGTGATTGCCATTGTGGTTTAGCTTGTTGTTGCTGTGTTGAATGCCATTGTGATTTTTGACTTGCTGTAGTAGAATCAGACAGTGTTTGTCGTTGTGGTGTAGATTCCAATGGTGAACTGCCATATGTTGTAAATGACAAGGGATGTTGACGTTGCGTTGTAGGTCGTAATGATGATATTTGTTGTGGTAAATGTGACCATGTTGAATGCCATTTCGCTGTAGATGGCGATGTCGTTAGTATTGTTGACGTTTTTCTTTCACACAGCATTTTGATACGTGCATTTGCTTTTCTCGCTTGTTCGACTTGAACATACGGTCCTGTAAACACTGTGGTATTTCCTGATCCATTGTTTTGTGGGCATGTAATGCCTAGGTAAAAAATGAATAAAGATATAAAAAGTCATGAAGAAGCAGATCATAGTTATAATATCAATCTATCTAAGGAATTATGGGCCTGAAATGTGGTAGATTTAGTAAATAGGGCTTTAAATGTACGATATTCATGTACATCTGCGTTGAAACATTTTTGTTTTAGCTCCATTTTGATCTCGGCCTTACAATATTTATATTTTTCATATCGATTATATACTTATCACTACAAGTTGTATGTGAGGTAACATGGACATCAACAAAGTAGGATACCTAGGCCGAGATCTTAACCATTTTACGAGTCCTAGTCCTCATGATATATTTAATTTTTAAATAATACTAGTATATAACTAATCTGAATCAATATTCAAACATAGCACAAATTGGACAGTTTCTCAAAATAACTAAGTTGAATAAAACAGTACCAGTATTCACTTATCAAATTTTGGATGACGATACCGTAAGTGACTTAAATAGAATTCGAATATTCAAATATATTAGAATTTAGCAAACCAAATATTCAAGTAATGATTTTGTATTCATTCCAATCCCCAATTTAAAGCATTACCAGAATTTTTCAGCCAGATTTCGAGAGTCATCATTCCAGTCAATCCTAATTTCGATGCTAATATTGGCATATATAAATTATCATTGGGTGTTACCATAGTACCATACCACGTTGTTTCACATAATTGTTTGGCTTCACAATACGTGTATCTATTCTCAGATACCAAATACGATGTATCGTTTTTTCCTATATCTATCCATTCTGTGAATATAATATATACAAACAAATAAATATTGTCATCAATATTGACCTGAATCTGATTAATTGTCATTAATGTTTCATAATTCAAGTTACACAATGGGTGATTTGCATGCACAATAATAAAGTTTTCAATTTTCGCAAAATATAATGAAGAAAGAAAAAAAGATATATTTAAACCATGTATACCATTATACCATACATTGAAAAATGGAAGATTTACTTCGCAATCCGATAATTTCCGGCAAAAGGTTATTCAATATTTCAATGTTTCCGGTCAATATTGCCAAACAAAATACATGTATAATAATTTAATAATCATTAATTACATTAAAGGAAAGTAAAAAAGGAAGAAAAAAAAAGAAATTAAACATTGTGTTCCATTCATTTTGCCAATATGATAAGATAGCATGTTAAATAGTATTTTAAAACCGTATTTCTTTATGATCAAATAATATCAAACAGTATTCAATGTAACACCTACATTTATTGAAATAAAATCATATTTATTAAAGAAAATAAATGTACCATCAAATTTCAAGGTATTGTTTGCAGGCAGATGACACAACGATTTGTTCGTCTCACAGATGGGGTGCATTACAGAAGTGCATGACACATTTTCTTCTATGCTTACATTATGTTTGGAAAATGTAATCGTCCTACAGACACCGCTACCTGTAATGTGTAGAAATAATTGGTAAACAATACGTTAAATATAATTAAAGAAATAATAATATTAATAATTATTGTGATTGTATTAATAATAATAACGAAAATAATAATAATGTACATATTTAAGCCCACAACCAATTTGCAAATTTTGCAACTGTCGACGTTATTCTTGACATGCCATTTCCTAGTACTTTATATGTTAAAATATACTGAGGTTTCCGGCCGCTTACACATTTTCTCCTCTGAATAGCAAACGGTTCGAAACCGCGGCAGGTTGATTTCAAAATATTGTTCACATCAACGTATCAAAAATACAGAAAAATATCAATATTTCGCTTACCATACTGGCTTATCCAATATGGTGACTGTTCTAATTGCTCAAATAAGCAAGCAGACAACAACTCCTGAATTTGTTCCTTTTGCTTTGATCCAAAGTCCACTGGTTTACTTGCATGTCTCGAGAGACAGTGAGAGGGCAGGTCTTTGTAAGTTATCTGTGCTGGACTCATAAGGTAGCATGTGTCAACACATAACTGCCATTGCCATGTTCCCCTATTTGTGTCTGCACCTATATTTAATTAATAATCTTATATCAGTTTTGTACGAAAAATTATAGCATGAGACAGACGTTAAAATGTGATACACATTAATGTATCACCTCTTGAATGGATGGATGAATTAATTAGAAATAGAATAAGTAATATGTCTTTGTAATTTTGTTTTGTTTAAATAAGCTATTGAAATACTAGTTTATGAAGATATAATAGAGGGATTCTAAACAAACATAAATAAAATTGAAAAGTATGAAATAACAGATCGTTTATCATTCTTTTGACGTAAAGACATAAAATGTGATATTCTTAAGAGCTATCGTTATTTCACACGACAATAAAGCTCGAAAACAAAGTGAAAAATGCGGAAAAGCACAAAAAGTGATACGAAATTGTGCGACTTTGCACATTTTTTTTGCTTTTAATTTGGCGTGACCAATCAATGGCAAAAGGCGTGGACGTCTAACTTCACGTCACCATCCCCCCACAAAAATCCCGTTATAACAACCCTTTTTCGTCCAATCGATGCTATAATGAATACAAAATGAGCAACAACATGCTGTTACAATGAAACTTGCAAAAGAATAATATCTTTTTGCCCCTGCCGCCTTATGATTGGCTCTCGGCCAGCTTTATCACTTCGTGTAACCTTTTTTTGTATTAATACGGACTCGATTGTTGAAGCTTAAAACTTAATGTAATAAATAGAGGATATTGAATGAGGGTAAGTTTAATACTGAATTTATTGAACGAGTTGATGCGAGGCTCTGGCGAACATTAGATTTTTTATTCGACGAGTTCAATAAATTCAGTTACTGTAATGAACCTACACGAATTTAATATTCTATTTATTACATACCAAAAATAAGGACCGAAAAAAAGAGTCATTTTTACATTGACGCGCCTACTTATAGCGCTAAAATTTAGCGCGTCTTTACACTATGTTTGTATAACGCTAATGACATCACGTCAAAATATATATGCACGGCCGTGCAATACAGTTTTACAGAGTCACAATCTCGGCACAGGTATGTGATAAAAAATTATCATTTAGATGTAGCAATGTCGAATCTATTAAGCGCCTTTCGGATCGTGTTTCCGCGCTTTAGCTACGCCTTATTACACTTTTGTATTGCCCTTCGTGGACTTTCTTTGTTGCGTTAAATATATTTGAGATATTAATATGAAATTCTTACACTGCTTAGAAGAATGAGCAACAAATAAACACAGAAAATTTCATGTGAGTAGCTTCTTACATTACAACAATATTTAATTTTACATAAACACATGTCGGCGACAGCGGCTTACTCCAAAAAGTTATTGACGTCAACATCATAATATTAACGTACAACTTGTGCTTCAACATTACGCAGTCAATGAATGTTACTGCTTCTCAAAGTAATGTCCATCACTAAATTTCGTATGCCACTTTAACATTAATGATCGTGAAATTCTCTTTTCTCTGTTTGTCTGCTGATTTTTATCAAATGTTTTTGTAGGTGTCATTCCCAAATTACAACAAAAATTTATGATCGTTTTATGATCGCGCGATTTTCTAATTACCGCGTGTCCGTCATTTTCCCGGTGTAAACAATAAAGGCGTCTGGCATTTCTAGCGATATCAACAAAAATAAACGGAAATGACGTCCATTATTTCAAAAAAATTACTTAAATAACATCATAGAAGAAACATGCGATGTTCAGCGGGTTTTCTACGTTAAATTATTATTTTTTTAGCAAGAAATATACGATGACTTACTGCGCTTTTCGACCGTGCGCCGGGTGCCGTGTATGTGCGTATTTAAAAGCAATATAAAATCACTATTTATTGACACATTAAACTGTTCTCAAAATGTGTTGATAGTATTTTATGATGTATGATGATGAAATTTCATTACAATACAAGTTGACAAGTTTAAGAGATATTTAAAAAGTCCACGAATTTTTGGATAACCCCTCGTAGGTTGATCCTACTTAATAATGATGACCAACACAGTTATAAATAGAGATGTTGAAGAGAAACACATGTTAAGACGAAGCGTATAATCAACCATTGAAATAAAAGAAGACCTTGTATAAATTCATTTTTCATTTTGCTTTTTTAAAAGAAAGTATTTCATTTCATAAGAAGGAAGAAAGATAAAATTAAAAACTTACATTTTAGAAGAGAGCCTATTATGTAAATGTAGAACCATGTTGCTTGCATCATTACTGTAAGACTTTGCAAAAACATTTGAACGTCGCCGAATCTCACTTAACCGTGCTGGTTAAGTTTTAGATTAGTATTACTATAGAATATATTGACAATTTGACATTTCTAAGGCCTATTAAGCCTTGAACAAACTTAATTCATTGATATTTTACCAGGTCATATTTAACGACGTTAATTACTTTTAATTCATTTTAGTTTTAATACATGTAGATATGCATTTTGAAGTACCTTTCAATGTCAGACATATGCCGACATATTGTTAGATTTCTCATTTCCGGGGCCAACGCCATGAAATGTTTCCATAAAATTATGAATGGCTATATTGTATTTACACATAATTCGTGTCAGATTAAGGGTGAAAGTTTAATTTGTTCAATACATCAATATCCACATAATATGGGCCAACTTCACAGATCTCTTATACTTGATCAGCCAAATTCATTTAAAAGATGAAAGTAAAAGCTTAAATCAGTGAAATAAATGATCTATACAATATCCCTTTGACAGTAGTTCCTATTGACAACTTTAACAATAAAAATTGAACGAAAATAACAAAACATATTGAAATACGATTCAACCTTAAGTCTTTAGTCATGGCGCTAATTTTCTGTTTAAACATTTTTTCACTAGTGTTTAAAAGTGTTTTTTGATAATTAATCTAGTACATGTACTAAGATACAAAAAATGAGCCATCTTAGTATGAATATAGAAAAGAATTGAACACCTTTTAGAATGCCCAAAAGAACGACATATGGTCGCAAAGTAGAACATTAAATTTGTCCTAAACGACAAAAAAATGGAAAACTAAATAAACAGAAAAGAAAATGTTTCAGAGTAATTCAAAGGTAGATGATTTCTGCAATTATGGTTGATTAAATGTTGAGAAAAAAATATATTTCAATTTGAAACGTATTCAAAGTTTTTACTAACGTTATTGCAAAGAATGTAATATGATATTTTTAAAAACGAAAACCATTGCTTGATTTGTAGGTTAAATGTATACATTTATATATGTACACGTAACATAAATCTATTTCAAAAAAATTCTTTCGCACATGCCAAATATAAATATTAATTATTTACAACTGTTACACTGTTACATGTACAACCAAAGTTAAGTTGGATTAATTGTCTTGCAAAATTCGTAAACATAACAAGCTATCTCTTGGTTAAAAACAACAATAATAACATCCCTTTCACTTATTAATCTGATTTTATACAAATATGCCGATATTCTGGCTGTTAACATCTTTATAGATCACAATAAATGTTGCTGTTTCTTTAACAAAAGAGAGTTGAAATATATATTTTATGTCTTAAAAAGTATTTAATTTCATGTTATTATGCATCAATATCAGGACATTCGGGTTAATCTGTGACTGGGATTTCATTAACTGTTTCCTCAAATCTTGATTCTTTTGCTGTGTTTTCAAGTTTATCTGTTCCATTCGATCCACTTTCTCTCTTTATTACATCTTGACAGTCCTAAAATATATTGCATATTAAGAGTTTTCTCGTCAGGCGATGTTTAATTGTTTATCTTAATATATGATAGAAAAAAATCACTAATTTAATTTCCTAACAAAGTAACACAACAAAACAAAAAGAAAACAAAAACACCCAAATGAATCAGAGAAAACCAAAAATGCAACAAACCCCCATTCCTGAAAGCAACAACAATAACAACGAGAGGAACGCTACTACTACTGCTACTGTTAATACTACCGCTGCCGCTTATGCTACTGATACCGCTACTAACGTTACTACCGTTACTACTACTTTAATAATGGCAAAGTATATATTTTTAAGTGACAATTGCAACTGTATAGGATACAAAGCACCATGGAAGTATTTTTTAATAATAAATCAAAATGGTAATGTTTATCAGAATAATGTTAAATTGTTCTCATTATCGTATGTCTTTCTTCCCTACAAGTATGATATTATTATACAAATAATCATTAATTATTCATTTTTTATGATTCCTTGAATTATTTAAAAGCGTGTGTTCAATCGTAATATTTTTTCTACGCAATTAAGTCAATTCTTTGGGGCGAACTATGTTAATCATTGAGTAAGGCCAATCACACGCCATAACAAAAGCAATTACCTTATGACATTGGTCAGTTCTCCAACATTTTTGTTCCACAACAGTTGCTGATATGCTTATTACGATTCCTATCAATTGCAAAACGAAAACCAATAACATATCAGATACGTCAATCGGCTTAAAATTTCCAAATATAATTCCACCTAAGTGTCCGGTTATGAAACTATCTTCTGATACTTTATCGCAAGTATTTGATGATCGCCACCACTTATCCATTATGGCAAAGAGCTTTCCAGTTTCCGTAAGATTTGTTATTGCTTCTGATATGTCAGAACAAAGTTGTTGTCCTTGATTGTCTCTACGACAAGCTAGACCGTAATCTATTTCAAACAATTTTTCTTGTAAAAGCATTAGTTCACAATTTTGATTTATCACCTTTTGTCCCTCGTACCCTTCTACAACTGCTGCAAAGGGTTTATCAATGTCCATGACTCTTTCAACAGCTTCTTCAATGTTAGAATAATAGGTGTATCTTGAGCGAATATGTCTATTCATTAATATTTGCACGTTATCATTTAAGTTGAGTGGCATCTCATACCAGCCACCGTATTGAACATCAGCCTGTTTTGACATTTGGTCAAATGTTTTAAACGGAATGACTGGTTTTTGTGTAGAAGAGAACAATATATACGCTGCCAATGAAGCTATATATGAGACAATAATTAGTAAAGAAAATGTCCAAAAAAATACCGATGAAATCCTGCGAGCAGTTGAAACAGGGTGTAAATCTCGAGTGTCTGCAAAATGTAGAAGCAGAAGATATTTCATTACTTGGCATTTTATGTTATAAACCTGGAACATGCCTCAGTCATGAGACTGTGACAGATCAAACTACATTTATATGGAAAAAAAAGAAAAAAAAACAACAAAAAAAACCCCCACAAAAAACACACACACACATACACAAAATCCGATATCATAATAACATATCTTTATAGAATAAACAGAATATATCGCATAAGGTAAAATATTGATTTGTGGGAAAGCCTTATAGAAAGAAGTACACACCTTTGAGAAGAAACAAAGACAAAGTGTAATGTAAACTTTGAAAAGCGCTCTGTCCATCTGGTTGACTGTGTCGGTCTATGATATATTGTACAGCAGCTGATATAAGCAAAGCCGCAATGATACACATCCAAAGAGCTAGTGAGAAAGGCATAAAGAGCAAGCCAAAGCTTTGAGTTCCCTTTATATCTGGATGCCGCATCAATATTTGAGCCCCAGTTGTTGCGAATGGACTTGAGAATGCCACGACACTAGATCTGATTTCTGATATCATTAGATCGGCGACCGCTAAATCAGCTGTCTGAAAACGATGTAAAAATACATGAAACATAACATATTTTTATAATTAATCAAAACATTTACAAAACGGATAAAAACGTTTGTATTAACACATCACTAATAAGTACGGTTTTCAAAAAATCCAAGATTGAAATTTAACTGTATATTTTCTTTTACAAGTTTTATAACCAAAAAAAAAAAAAAAGATATCGAAGTTGAAACTTAGAACAGCGAATGTAAAAATACATAAGGTAAAGAATTTTATCTTGTTAGCACACTTTATTCAATGGGCTCGAGGAATAAATATGACTCGCATAGAAAGTAAACATTTAATTCGAAATTTAAGCATGCGTTAATAAGGTACCACGGACAATTAAGAAATATATAAAAATGTACATTTGAGACTAAATCCCCAATCACGCCATTGACTTGAATGCCTTCAGCTGTATATTTTATTCGTCCGTACTCTTTATTTGGACTGTTGTCAAAACTGAACGTGAAGTTCGCAATTTTTGTAATCTCTTCGAGTAAGTCGACTAAAATACCTTCATATCCAGTTTTTGCCGCCATCATCCATGGATAATTCTGGAAAAAATCTTATTACAGTTAATCAAACACTCCTATGATATTACAGTAATGGCTTTTCTAAGTTTTGAAGACATTTTGTGGATTATGCATTAGAAACATCTTTTCAACTTTATACATAAAGAAAAAGTCGATTAATCACTTCATTAATATAATATAACATATGCATATTTATTTCTTTAAAACTGATTATTTTGACAGATTAATCGAGTTATTTCTTTAGAATTTCAAGAAAAAATAGTAATCAAAGGATTTCTTTCGATGTCAGTTGTCAGTTAATATCTTCATACAACAGGTTATTATATCCTTAGTCTGCCGGCGGCAGCATATATTTCCCATGCGACAAGCGGATACCTAGATCAGCCGACACATCTGTGCCGTTTAATTTTAGTCTTTGTTTATCAGTAAGTACGAATTTCAAATAAATTTCCCCTCATATGATAAATAGTTTCATCCAGATTGAAATAGGACAGGTCTATTTTAGATACTTTATCAAGATAAGAGTTAAAAGTTTCTAAACTTTATTTCCTCATCAAAAAAGAAAAGCAATCAAAATTAAATCCTTTAAAGTGAATTAGATGAAAACAATACAAATTGCCGCCAAAAACAATTTTTCTTCAAAATGTGTAAGGCCATGTTTGAACATGGAAAAATCTCGTTTTTGGTAATTCCAATATATCTCACTATTTTATGTTAACCCATTACTTTTCACGCTTTTTCATCCCCACCTTTCGGAAGACTCAAATGGTGTAAAATGCCTTATTTAGTACCCAAACACTTGTTTTCGTTTGAGAAATGTTGTTAAAAATGTCATAACTTCAAAATGATACATCAGGGGGTGCCAGGGAAGATTTTGGAATTGTGAGTGACTAAAATTGGCCTCAGCTCGATCAAAATGTAACGTGTAACCAACGCTTAAAAGCACTTTGAAATCAGTTTTGATGGAAAAAACCAACGCGAAATAGTGATTTTTGGCATTTTTGAGATGTTCCCTCGTTGACATGGTAATATGAAAGATTGAGCATGCTGTTACAAAGAATATCGTCCAGTTAACAATTGTGCCAAGTTTGATGAATATTGAAGCATCTTTTATGGTTTCATAGCAAATTGAACTTGTAACAAGAGGCTTTTCAATGAAAAAGCCATTTTTTCCACAAAATGCTCATGCAGTAATGGGTTAATAAATAAAAGCAATAAAATAAGAAAACGAACAAAAAGAAAATGGAAAACCATCCCGTAATGAAATGATTCTAGTTGAACTTACCAATACTGTTGCTACTCTGTAAACAGGAAAATCTTCTCCTTTTGTTGTGTTCTTATTATTACCATCTGCGAACTGAGTTTGGAAAAGGACCTATTCAAGAACAAAAATGCTTTGTATTCCATTGCAAAATCAAGCAAGACCAAATTTATGACTTGAAAAAATACGGAAATTTTATTTTGAAAAAAACAACAAAAACAATGAAAAATAATGAAAAATAGTAATTGAATCAACAATATATTTTTTTATAAGAAAGCCTGATGATTCGACAGTTTTATATGCTATTCTTGGATGTTGATTTTGTTTTCAAAATGGCGCATTTTGCCTGATTTTTACTTCTTTAGAAAGGGCAAACATTTGTTTTATAATGTTGTTTATATTAGATTAAGATCATGCAAATTGCCTTTTACTTGAAGAATAGAGCTGAATGTAAGCATTTTAGAAAAAAGCAAAGTTTAAACAAAGTTGCAGTTTGAAATCTTAATCACTATAAATGTACTACCTTCACTCAAATGAAGCATATTATGATATAGCTTTATAATCAATAAATAACGTTGTTGATAATTCTAACAGGACAGCAAAAATACAAAGCTTTGAAAAATAAAAATCTTAGCATATTTACGCTTAATCGGTCCGCTGAGTGATACATTTAGTCACAATGTAAACAAGTACAAAGTATTGAATGTTGAATAAATAAATAGGCGTGCTTTAAAAGTTGTGTTGTACTATCGTACTCGGGCTTTCTTTTTGTTAATATTAATAACAATAGAAGCGTTTTCCTCTTTGTTTTACTATCTAGTGCAAACACTTTTTATATTGTCATGCAAAAATTCAAAAACTGATTCAGTGCAAATGAAGATTGATCTTTGTTGGATTACAAGTATATCTACATAAAACACGAATCTTTCAATATTTGTCGAAATATGAACATCCTGGTGGCTGATTTTACGTGAATCAGTTTAAATGAAACCCTCCCTTTAATAAAAAGACAATTAAAAGGTACAGGTGAGAAAAAATTCTGGCGGAAAAGGGATACTCCCTGGAGACAAAAGACAGCACAACTAAAGAGGTGGAAATCAGAGACTCATTTCGATTCTTCGTATCTGTGAATCATTCACACCCTCGTAACACCGGATAGCAGGAATCATTCCTCAACACAAATAGTATTATAATCAGTTATTCCGAATGACTAGAAAAAATAGCAATAGTAAAAAGTCGGTGAAATGTACCTCAGCAGTAAAGCCAATAACTTAAGCTGATTCCAGTGATTTAAGTTAGGACTTATATAGAAGCAGTTATTTATTAATGATGGTACACAAATTCGGATTCATTAGTTAGATAAATACCTGTCATTATTATAAATACATACAATTGACAAATTACTGAAAACAAATCTAGTAGAAGGACATTAAAACCTAAAAAATGGACAAAAAAAATTGTAAAAAAAGTATCAAGTTAAATCAATTTTGATATGTATTTAATCAGTTTACACAGTGTCGTTGCTTGCCTATAAGCGTTGCTTTTATATTTATTTCAAATTAATGCTGAATGAAAAATTGAATTTATTGAATTTCGCAAAAACGATGTCTTGTTTATTCTATGTTATGTTTTGACGAATAAATTTAAAGAAAAATGGGGACATTTTTTACGTTACGTCAGGCGTAAAGAGATGATTAAAAGGAGATTTTAACAACAAATCAAAATGTTGGAATCTATTTTTTTAAAAAATGTTATCTCAATCCATTCTAAGTATCAAACTCGGAAGCTAATAAAAGACATAATGGGTAAAAATCTCACCAATAAAGAAAGTAAAATTCCAAATTTTTCACACATTTTTGTTCTTTTTATATCCTTGATGCTTTAATCCCACAAACGTTTGTATAAGTGAGAAGGAATTTTAAAGCATTTGTTCTTTTAATGAATGTTAATCTATGATACAGACACAGATGGCGTTCTGGTCAATTACTTCGAATTTATTCTGATATTCCGGGCAGAATTTATAATCAACTATGTAAAGAATTCCTTGAACTTAGGTCTGGCGAACTTGTTTTTTCACGGATCGACACTATTTCACCTTTGATCTCTAAGAAACAAGTGTGATACATTTTACGTCTTCTTTCGTAGGAAAAAACAAAACAACAACAACAGAAATAGACGATTTTTTACGAGTGTACGTTTAATACTGAATTTACTGAACAAGTTAAATTAAATACATTATGCAACCTACACGAATATATTATTCTATTTATCACAAACCATAAGTAAAGACTGTAAAATTGAGAAAAGATAATCATTTTAGAATTGAAGCGCCTACATTGTAAATCTAACATTTAGCGCTTCTTTACAATAGATTGATATACCGCAAATGATGTCACGTCAAAAAATATGCACGGCCGTGCAACACCAAGTTTTACGGAGTAGCAAAAACGACACGGGTGTGTGATTAAAAAAATTCGTTCACTAATTTACTCTTGCACTGCCACAAATCAATCAAAATTAAAAGAAGTTTGCTGCAAATTGAACTTAGAATAACTCTACATATAACTTGAACAAGACCTGTGTTGTTTATAATAAAAATAACGATCGTTCTAAATTAAGTTTAATAAAGATTTCCGTGTTCATAAACAATATCAATCCGTTTCACATATTATCCAAAGGCATTTACGTCCGTGATGCAGGGATGTATGCTGTTTTAAACGCGCTCTGCTCGTTATATTATTTTTTAATAAACCTCTTTACGTACACATCGTTGTTAAAGATTTTCGTGGTAAAAATGCATTTGTTTGCAACAATTTATTATGACAAAATGATCAACGAGATTCGGTTATATTGTTAGAAGAGTGCAAGTGTTAACTCTGACACTAGAAAAGAATACAATAGAATACAATAACATTTATTTCCAATCAAGAGTCATGTTAAATGGCATATAAATCACAATAATAATGTGATCAGAGATCAAATAGATATGCTAGAGAAAATAAAACGTGATTCGCATTAAAGCAGTAACAATAAACTGAAATAGTAAGAAAATAATTGAAAAAATAAAATTTTGCTAACCAGATTTAACTATTAAACTTCATATTACATATAAAATGATACGTAGATACCCAATAACTTATTGCTGTATCTCATCTTCAGTTTTCTCAAGTCGTTCCAAAAATGATAGATAAAGATTTTACATGTAGTTTAGCTCTACTGAAGAGATGCAATCTCAAAATTTACTAACCATTATATATAGTTGGAGGTAATACTTCAAATTGAAGGAGAACTGCCCTGTACAGTACACACCTTTCACTTTCAACATAACCTTTTCTAAAAGTTGAAAAGCTGGAGATCTTGTTAACCTTGTATAATACTAATACAACTGATAATGAAATCAAAATATAAAACAGATCTCCAAAAAAATCACCTAACACAGCATCATTGCATGTTTTTTTGTTTATTTTTGTGAACCCTTAACATATGTTTTAGGAATTTTGTACGTAATTGTTCAAATGACCTTTCACTAAAGCTTTGAAATAGACACACACCCTCTTTATTCACTTTACTGGTTGTTGTATTCAAAGTTCCCCATATTTCACTAGCATAAACTAGAACAGGTTTAATAGTAGTATGGTCAAACAAATGCAATAAAGTAATAACATTAGTATTTAAATTACTTAAAGCTTTGCCTCTTTCATTGTTTGTTAAGTTCACATTTCATATCACATAGCTAGAGTGATATTATGCTCCCGCTTTCGCCGTCAAATTGAGTTGAGTCAATAATATTTTTCAAGAGATTGATTATTATAATGGTGATTGACCAATAGTTGATTATAAGAAATGTTTTGGATAACATTATAGCTATATATATTATAAAACGACTGTTCCACTAATTGAATATTCCGAAGATATCTACAGCAATGTATGTGGGCTAATATGATAATTGGTTATTTTTGCATAGTAAAATATAAACTTGTTAATTTGATTTTTACCTGTTTACTCAACATTAACACTTTGATGGGCTTACTGTCACTTACTATGAATGTAAAAGAGAAAGAAATTTTTATTAAAGATATTTAATTCCAATTCTACAGCAATGTCCGTGGGTTACGTGGATTATTGAGAATTTTTGCATAGTAAAATATAACATTAAATAAAATATAACTTCATGATTGAATTGCAAACCTGACAAATATGCTGGCGACGCTTTGAATAGCCCAAACACTTTTAGCTGATTATAACTTGCAAGTTCAAGTAACATTTTTACAAAAGTCATCATATATCGGATATTGAAAGACGGAAATGAATTATGTCTTACTTTGTTACAAGGCTGAATGAAAAATCCCGTAAAGCGGAAATAATCTATTTTTAATTTGTTTGCAACAGTTACTCATATTCATTTCAGTTTTTACTTTTCATTCTGAAACAAAAACACAGAAAAAGAGCATATAAAATGATATCAAATATCTTAATAGATCAATAAAATTGTTGAACATGGTACATGTATCTCTATCATCTGAATACAAGTGTTATAAACATGTGAAACAATATTTACAAAATAGAGTACATGCATTTTTTCTGATTTTTTGAGGTTTTAGGAGGATTTCCTAGTTTTAAGTTTCGATAGGTCTGCTAATACAATCAGCAAAACAATTGCACACAGAAAAAGTGCACTGAATACACCAATTGCTTTTGATGATTGACGCGTATCTTCGGCACTGCCTTTCTTTCTCCTATTTCTTGACGTTTTTTTCGAATCGACAGTCATATTTTGCAGTAATTCCATGAAAATTTTATCGTTTTCCAGATCGTATGTATTTGATTTGTTACGTGAGGAACAAATACAGATACCATATTGTTTGTTTTCACATGGTATTGAAGATATTGTTTCATCATATGAATTGTAAGATAGACAATCCCTCTGTATGTTCTCATCAAGGTAACCATGATCTGTAAAAATAAGCATCACTATTATTCTCAATTAAACAAGTATTAAACAGTAATAAGGATACAACAATAATAATAAAATTCGATTATGAAAAAAAAAACATACCAAAAACACCGGCCTTTAAACTAGTTATATTACTGAAATAACTATACTGACTTTTTAACAACCCGTTAACAGGTAGTACCTGGAGAAATCCAACATGAACTCTACTTCATGGATAATCTTTTTGTTTTATTCCTGTCTATATTAAAGTAATTACGTTTATCTACCTTTAACCCAAAACGAGCCGTTTCGCAAACTCCATGTACGCAAATTTTGAATGTATGACAAACTATTGTGGACAATCATTAATGATGCATTGAATCGGCTGTGACAAATCCTATCAGATTCGGTGTAGTTATTCTTATCATACAAAATGACAAATTCATTGACCCCGCTGGTGATTCTTTCAATCGTTACATCTTCTGCAGAAAATGATATCACATTTACTAAGAGCTATTGTTATTTAGCAATGGAGACTATAAATCTAAAAGTGGAGACTGTCTTATGATTTATGTGTTACTGTGAAGGATAGTCTAACTATCGAGGTATGGTTCTAAAAATTGGAATAATGACTGAATGGAAAATATACTACTTATATACATTGCACTTACTAAGGCAATAAAAAATAAGCCTTAACATGTTTATCGAGAAATTTGGATGTTAGTATGGGTGATATCAATTTGATATAAAAAAGACAACAAAGATCATTTGGCACAACGTCGTTCACAGAATGCAGCACCAAAACAGACAGCTGCATTAGTCGATACATAGAAAACACTCAAAAATACGGAGGGTGCACAAGGGCAGAGAACAGAAGGGACGGACCTGCGAATAACTGTTACAATTAACATATGTATAAGTGCAAAGTCAGTTGGATGTTCAATATGAATAGGGGCAACAAACAATAAACACCGAACAATCCCATGTAGTTGAAAATATAACAACATTGGTGACCTTTTACAGCAGAAACACGTAAGAAAACTATTAAGTCTAGCTTTCGGAGTTAATGTAAGATGCAGATGTTACAGGGGCGATACAAATAACGACAAAGATATGTTAAAAATAAGATTGAAGAATAAAATTTATACTAGCGATAGCATCCATGGTTAGCAGAAAACTTATTTTTCGGTATAAAGACAGTTAAAGGGATATAATTTTTACTTAAGGTATATAAATGTTTCTATGAAGTTTACACATAATACAAATATACTCATTAAAATTTGGATAATACTCTGGGGAATAGAAGTCCAACTTCTGAAAATTCTATTTTTAATTTGGCAGAAATAAATATATATTTAAAGTCTAATTAAAGTCTCACAATAAAGAATATAAGACCGGGACATTTGTTTTACTATGCAGGATTATTTATGAATGGGGAACATAATGTTGCAATGATATTAAAATTTTATTTAGTAGTTTCGCACGGCTGTATTTATTAATTCCAGTGACATATGGTTTTCATTTAAATTACATAATTATATTAACATAACTACTGGTTACCTTTCTTTTGTTCGACCGAATCCTTCTCGCATATACAATGAGTTTTCAGTGTGCAATTAAAAGTGAACGGTTGAAACCGCGCTCTTGAACACCCAGTCTCTGTTCTGGGGCATGCCATTAATAATCTGCACATTGATGCGTCCGTTGGCGTATGTAAAGTTTCGCTGACATTCACCCAGTATGTCTTATTTCTGTCTAGCTTCTCTCCGAGCAGTTTTGCCGGATCATTTGAGACATTGTGTGCCACAAAAGAGCTGATGTTTACACAGTGCTGCGAGCATTCGGAATACCCCATTTGCGCTATGCTAATATTATACTCAACGGACGGAAACGAAATCCATTCAGATGCTTCAAGAAGACAGAAAAGACAGAAAAAAGATAAAACATAATATCAATTACAGAAAAATATATTGAAATGTATACATGTATAGGCATACAGATTAATGTTACCAACACTGAAATAAATGTACACAAATAAAATCTTAGAAGTAACATGATACATTTGTACATTGTTTTCTTTATATTTTGGTGGTCTAGATAATACAACTGTATGATAGGCTGGCAGTATTAGTCCGATTATATCCCATATTTATAACATTTTTTTATATCCTAATGACACTTTGAATTGTTAATCATTAAAAAAAAATATTTGCGCACACACACTTAATGTTTACAATTTCTTAGTAAATTAAATTCAAATGTTATTGCAAGTTGTACTTTGATGTAAATTATTTCAAAAGTGAAAGTATATTTCAAAATCAATCTACATATCCAACATTAAATCAATGCACTGGTTTCATGTCCCATTTCTGATACTTACATTAATTTCCACTTCTATCTCCACCTCCCATAACGCTCGGTCATGCAGACGGACTGATTGCATCAACCGTCGGATCTGTTATAACATTTACAAAAAAATAATACCTTTGTATGTCGAGTTGGATGAGTCATTGGTGTTGTAATCACTTTCACAGATAGCATACCCTTTGGTCAAGCATGATGTATTATGAAATTCAAAGTGTCCTCCATTACGTTTTACAACTTGACATTGTGCATTTTTTCTTTCTGTTTTTACTGCAATATTTTAGTTAATTCTATTATTAAATATAACTAATATAAATCATGCATTAAATTCACATTCAGGTGGTGTTGTTTGTAAGGATACTGTTCATTGTTAAACTTGATCCAATAACATGTATAGTTAAATACATAACCAATCACTTACATATTTATATAAAACTATCTTTCATGGCCAAGTGGTTAACGTCGTTTACTTCAAATCACTTACGTCACACCGCTTCAGGTTCGTATCCAGACGGGGACTTGCATGTGAGGAAGCTAGCAAGCAAGCTGCCGTTTGTGCCTAAAATGATGCTCGGAAGGGCACCTGAGGTCTTTCGAATTCTCCACCGGTAAAGTTTAAAAGTCGCCATATGACCTATACTGTGTTCAGCCGCGTAAAACCTAACATAAATAGTTTTTATGCACTAACAGTATATGTTCGCTACAATGGTTTTGAAGTGTATCAGTATGGACCGTTAAGAATCTTTACACATTCGTATCAATTTTATGTACATAAAACGCATTCATTTTTCCGTGTTTGTCCAACCGTATTTATCAATATTTAAATATTATATGAAATAAGATTGAACTGTATTAATTTACTTACGGATCCAGTAATTTTGTTTATTTTGCAAGGACACATTCAATGACACATTTGGGCATGAACCATCCAGATTTTCGATAAAATTTGATGGGGATTTACTAAAGTTAGCCACATTTCCAAGACGCTTATCACAATATTGGACGGAATCATTGTACGTCTGCATTGTTTTTCCAAAATGAAAAGACCTGTTCAAACACCTGTGCCAGTTGTCATCTATACAATTTAAGACACCTGCAGTGACACATAAAATGATCATTTAAGATATATGCATATAAAAATAATAATACGAGTTACACTTTAAATTGCTATAATTCTATAATTATAGTGGCAATTAGTTTTCAATGACTATATTAATTTAAGGCAACAACTTGGAATGTTTCATGTTACCCGTATATAACTCTAACGGCAGCAAGCAAACAAGTGACAGAAACATACTCAAAATTCAATTTTTCGTTTCTAAAATGTTTTATATGGAAAAAATGACTCAAATATTTGACAAAGTCGATTTTATTTTCCATTTAAGGAGGAATTATTACTTAAGTACCCTAATTCTTTGTTCAGTGCAGTCGCCTCTCTTTCTTATTCATCCGCTAAAACATTCCTAACATGTTCAATTAGATGTGGCAATGTGCGTTTAAATATTAAAGGATTTTATTCAAACATCGAACATTATTTTTCAAACAGCCAACGACGATGACAGCTATGGTTCCTTTCTTCAATCGGCGGGGTTTACTGCAGATACTGGCACTGTATATCTTTCCTAATGACACTATTGGTACTAAGTCTTGTTGCATCTTGGATAAAAAACATCACTTTTCTTACCAAGGCTTGTCGCCACGGCAAAATGTATAAGCACCTAACTTTTAATTTCTAATGTCGTATTTAGCCTTTTAATCATAACAATGAAATTTAAGGTGTTTAAGCTTGTCAAATAATATCTCATCCACACAATACATTTCCCACTCTAACACAGGATTTTACATTGCAAATGCCAACAAATAACTGCTAAAAATGAAGTATTGCTAGATATATGTACAATATATTACTATTCGAAAATGGTTCATTTTGGTACTCGTTCTGTTATACCTCTGCATTATATAAATGCTGTTAAGAATTTTTTTCTTATTGTTTCTAGATGATAATAAATTATGGTATTTTATATTATCTCTTTAATTATACAAAAGGTAAAACATACGGAATCCTAAAATTTAGCGGTCAAACGTACTGCTAACAATAGCCTGTGTATCTCGATCCTAGTCGTAAGATGCATTTAAATGATTCAGAAATTGTATTTGATAGTTTTGTTATTTCGCACTGGCTTCGACAATCAAATACAGGATCCTAATTTAAAAAATCAATAATGATTGGACTTACCTATGACAGACACAATGAGAACAGAACTGCGATCTATCCATAATATATCAACCATTTCTGGTTATGTTGTTGTTGCAAGTGCAATTTAAATTTTAAAAAGTAAAGTTTTTCTTCGTGTTTTATAGCATAAATGCCTAAGTGGATAATGTTTAAAACAACAAAGAATTTCCTTGAAAAATGCAAAATTTCATTAAAACTAGAATGGCAGAGGAAGCGTGTTTGTTTTTATTTCTTTCAAAGTGTTGTTGTAATTTTTTGATAAGGACTTTAATAAAAAAAATAAGCTATTATCATAGGTTTGTGTGAAACACAGCATTTGAACCTTACTTAAGGCTTGACATTGCCCTAAAGCCCGGAAAAAGATCAGGAAATTAATAAGGAAGTCAGAAATAGATAAGATAATTGGATAGTTCAGGCCAGCATAGGATTAGTTCAGTCACTCTATACTTTATAAAAGTAAAGTGTTTCAATTGACAAGCTCTCGTTACAATGCAAGTATTTCCATATCATAAAAAAATATATAAAAGATACTTTTAATTCAAATATATTTCAATTTGTTTAAGTATGCTTGCATGTACCAAATATTATGACAAATGTTTTGTAAAGGATATATATTGCCAAAACGTTAGCATTTAAACATGTATGGCTGACGCGATAACATGTAAAACCAAATGGCATAAAGATTAACTTAAAAAATTTCATTCTTGCAAATTCAAAACAAGTATGATTTAAAGATTCTCATGATGACCTTTTATTGAGCTTAAGTACACGTTCAGATCACATATGTCTAAAAGGTTAAAAAAAGAAATCGTGTATGACTCAATAGTTTACATACTAAACTTGTCTTGTTGAAACGTTTACAAGCAAAATGATTACTTAAATAAAACCAAGTACAATTTTGGGATGCAAATGATGCAGACCATATTTGATTTAAAGGTTCATTTACTGTATGGAGCAAAAGTACACATGCAAAATAATATTAATAATAATAATAATATTAATTTTGAAGGTAAATTAAAAACATAAATGACTCCAGGAATCGTAAAAGAAATAACAAGGCACGAATTTGAACAAATATGCTCAGTATATGATCTTGTTTGTGTTGCAAAACAAAATAACTCTTAAAATACTCTTAGACTAGGATACAATTATTACCCAAACAAATGCCAGATATCCCGAAATTCTAACCAAAACTATTACAGCCAGTAACACGATTGTTAGAAACATACGTTTATGTAAAAGACCCTTATGATATTAATTCTAATATTGTGATGGCAACATCTGAAACCTTTCCGGACAAAATATTTTATATAATATTATATTACAGTAGGTCTTTATCCAGATACTCAGAGATAACCATGTCATTAAACATTTTAAAGCAATTTCGATTGTATACAAATTAATTTACAAAATGGTACTCTAGAATTTAGTCAATACAAACATAATAATGTTGCGGTTGATAAATATGTAAACAACATTGCTATTGTGTTTTACGATTGGTCGCTCGAAATTTTAAATTGAAACATGTAAGGGGAAAATATGAAGTAATTTACTCTCTTATCTAAAACAAAAATCCGGTTTTACAAACAAATCATGTTTAAATTAGCACGTGAATATCTTGATGATTTGTAAAAAGAACCGGTAGGTCATAAAAGATGTCAGCGATGCTCCAGGAAATATTTGCTTTTATATTGATATTTACATTATATGGTAATAATTTTAAACTATTATATTTCTTTTCATAAACAAACTAAGTCACATTTCATTATTTATTTAAGTTGTGTATATGTTTTAATCCACATAAAGTTGTACACGATAGAAATTTAAGACACTGTTAAAAAAGTTATCAATTGTTTTATTCCAAAATGTAATACTGATTAAAGTTTCAATCGTGTAATCACACGATGCTGTGCCGCTTACATGAAACTGCCTAGGCGACAGCACGAAATACGACATACAAACGCCAATTATGATATAACATAGTTTGTCGTTTTTTGTCCTGCTGCGTAAGCGAAAGATGAGAAGGCATCATTTGTTATTCACAGAATAATTATTGTTATTCACTTTTTACCTGAACTGCTTTGTGACATCTTGATGGTGATATTTTGGGCATAATATTTTAAACGTTTGGTTTAAAGTGACATTATGCTCAAGTTGACTTTATGTTTCAAAAGATTTACTGTTGTAATGGTGAATGACCAACAGTTGTTTTTGAAAATGCTTGGGATAAAATATTGTTCTGCTTTAGTTATTGAACGCTACAGGTACATTTCGAAAGAAATCGCTATCAAAGTACTCCATTGTCATTTTTTCAAACACCAAGAATCGTTTTTCTCTTATTAGGTCTTACATATTCAAACTGGCAGCAGTGCAATGGCAAATGTTATTACTTTGGTAAAAACAAAATGAGTTTTGTTGAGCAGAAATCATACTGTAATGGAATAATAAAAGGCGTTTCGAGGCAAGCAGACTTTGGGACCAGTGACAGTCAAACAATAACATCCATACTGTCAGCATGCCATCTTAGCACAATAGATCAAGAACCATACTGGATAAATATGATAAGTACGAGGGGCTATCACTTTCTTTATTGCGTAAAATATATATTTGAGATATTGATTTGAAATTCTTACACTGCTGAGAAAGATAAATAACAAATAAACACAGAAAAAAATCATGTAAGTAGCCTCTCATATTACAACAATATTTATTTACAATAAACACATGTCGGCGACAGCGGCGCATTCCAAAACGTTATTGACGTCAACGTCATAATATTAAAAGTACAACTTACGCAGTCAATAACCATTACTGCTTCACAAAGTTATGTCCATCATTATTTTTTATGCCACTTAAAGACTAATGATAGTAAAATTTTATTTTCTCTGTTCGCCTGCTTTTTTTTCAAATGTTTTTGTTGGTGTGATTCCCAAATTATAACATAATTTTATGATCACGCTATTTTCTAAATTCTGTGTGTCCGTCATTTTCCCGTTGTAAACAATATCGTCGCCTGGCGTTTCAAGCGATTTCAACAAAAAATAACGGAAATGACGTCCATAATTTTAATGAATTACTTAAATGACATCATAACAGAAATATGCGATGTTTAGCGGGTTTTCTACGTTAATTAGTAGTTTTTTAGCAAAAAAATATACGATGACTATCTGCGATTTTCTACCGTGCGCCGAGTGCCGTGTATGTGCTTATTTAATAGCAATATCAAATCATTTTTTATTGACGCAGTTAACTGTTTGTTACAAGACGTGTTGATAATATTCTAAAGTGTATGCTGATAAAATTTCATTACAGTACACGTTGACGTTCAAAAGATATTTAAAGAGTCCACGATTTTTTGGATAACCCCTTGTATGTTTGAACTGTGATACATTGAATTATTGTTTTCATATTTATTTAAAAATATGTTTTTCTATTTTTGCATCATGTCTTTAAGTTAAGCAATATAAAACTGCATAAAACAAAAGCTTTTTTTAAAAGAATTGTTTAATATATCCTCTAAGTGAGAATAAATGTGATAATTGCAGACCTTTATGGTCACCCAACGTGTCGGACTATAGTCTTTACCGGGAAAGATGTTCAAGTAAATGGTGATGTGCTATGCTTGTCAAAGATGTATAGTCTCTGCGAGATAACAAACACAACATTGTGCCAGCCGACAAGTAACAATACAGGAAAAATATTAACCAGCAGTACGTTTAAGTTTTTTTAACTTTAATATTTCTCAAAACACTTTGCTACAAATCATTAAAATTACTAAAAGTCAGTTTACAATTTCTTTCCTTATAGTTAAAAAAGATGAACTTATTTAAACCATTGTACTATTCTTACAAATTAGATGCAGCACCCTGTTGTATTTGTTTTACTTAAGATCAATAAAATATAAATTCAACAATAAAGGAAACAGTCGTTGGCTTATATAAATTGTCAACAGACGAAAGATTATTAATATAATTATGTTCTACTATTTTACAGAATTTGTGGATTTACCCGAGGAAAGTAAATCGTATGTATTGTCATCGTTTCAACATTCATATTGCAGAGCAAAAGAACTCTGCGAATCAGACTGGAACAATGATATTAGCCCAGTGAGACAAAATAATTCCTTTTGGGCGCAGTTGGGAATCAAGCTTGGTCTCAGAGGAGCAATGAAACTCAGCTTTTGGATTAAAAGTTCCGGTATGTGAATAGACATCAAGAATAAGTAATGAAATTCAACTTTATTTATTTATTTAATTTGTAAGCTGAAGATAATTATACATGCATATTTGCTAAATGAAAACATATATATAAATGGTTTGATTTGTCTAGTGTTACTTTGTATTTATGTTGTTCCCTTTAATGAAATTACCATGTTAGAATAAACATTTCAGGTGTCTCATGTCTTAAAACAGGCGAATTAGGGAATATGATTTACTATGAAGGACCCTTGAATTTCCATATGGAGCAAAAAAGTACAAATGAATTTCATCAAGTGTTGTGTGTAAAAAATATTACGGTCACGACTACAACACAGAAAACGACAAAGGCAATATCGACAAATGACTTGCATCATCATACAAGTCCATCAATGATCCCAGCGTTGCACGAAACAGTGGAAAGTCAGACAAGAATACAAACCCAAACAAAAGTTACTTCAAAACAAAAACCTGAAACACCAACGACTTCTATAAACGTGCTTATCCCATCATCTATGCAAACCAAAGCATTAGCAACTGCAAAGAAACAACAATATAAAACACCTACGAGCAGTGGAAGTACAGGTTCTCTAGCACCTTCAACCATACGACCGCACATTATATCAACAAATCGTTTAAATGCAGCAACTATTACGACACTACCAACAAGTATGTCAACAATCGGAAGAAGTGTACTACCATCAACATCAACATTTAAACAAACAAAGGTTAAATCTACGGTATTAAGCGCAACATCGGTAACAACTATGCATTATATGTTATTCTCTAAGACAACCAAAGCAAGTAGAAATTATCCAAAATCGACCGGTTCGCATTCTATGCCTGTAAGGGAATCTACTATCGAACAGAAAACAGGTGATCATACGTATAACGCTTTCCCTTAAATTCTTAGAATCAAAGGAGACTTTGATTAACTCATAGAGAGTCCCATATATTAGGTCGAAATGGCTTATTATTTTATATTTATTTTCTATAAAATTGAGACAAGTAAATTAATAGGTGTTAATGGATTTCTTGGCTCACAAATTAATCACAATTAAACGTCCCCTTTTTTTAAAAATAATTACATAAAATGTTATTACTATTTGATTGTGAATATGTCTGTTTATCATAACTGACCGTGAAAGGTTCTTCTAAAAATCCCTTGTCTTTATTTTACCCAATTGTTTCTTTTGTTTAGCTAACGGACAATCGTACGAGCAATCATGGATATCAATTGGTCTTGAAAAATATTATGTCAATCACAACCAAATGACTTACAAGTCAGCTTCAATTTTCTGTGGTGAGATAATGAATTCGACATTGGTTAGGTTTCTAAATCCACTTAAGTACTTCAAAATCCTAGGAGAGATAAATCTTCCGGACAACTCTTTCTGGGTAGGAGGTAAATCTTTCAATTTATTTATACGATGATACATTTTCTATTTGAAAACAGAACAGAAATAAATGTTAAAGATCATACATGTTTTTACCCATCAAATTTACAATAATCTAAATTTATAAGATAATACAAACATACATACATACGTACGTGCGTGCGTGGGTGCGTGCGTGCGTACGTACGTACGGACGTGCGTACATACATACATACATACATACATACATACATACAGAAAGACAGAAAGAAAGAACGAAAGAAAAAAAGGAAAGAAAGAACACTTTATTTTATATTTATTGTAAAAAGATATATGTAAATGATTGCATTAAAAATATTTACCGACTAACCTCAAATCTTTTAAGTAAGAAATACATACTAAAACCGGTATTCCTAGTCTACTATTGTTTCGGTTAAATAGATTTAACTGTATATTTTATTGTATATTCTAGCACACGGTTTTGATGAAGGAACACTACCAACTGATTGTCTATCTTACTGGGCTAGTAACATGACTCTGATGACATCTCCTTGTCACTTTAACATGATGAGCGTTTGCAGCAAAAGCTTAGATGAAAGCAACGTTTCGCATGTTTTAAATAACCCGGATTTCAAGACAATGTTACGAGAAATGAGCGTGCTCAAAAACGGTACAGGAAGGCGGGTGAGAAAACTCACTTGCGCAAAGGATCCACGGGTATCGGCTAAAGCAGCAGGATTTACAGGAATGTTTTTGATATGTTCTCTTATTACACTTGTTGTAATAAGTGATCTATTAAGTTTGATCTCTAGTGTTAAGAAACGATAAGAAACAAATGCAGATTCAAAACATCTTGAGTTATTACACAGATAAACAATAGATACAACTGGCAAACGGAATTGTGAAAACATTTTGTTACAAATTTTCAACCAATAATAAAAAAATATAAAGCAAGGGTTTGCAGTAAATATACAATACAAGACATTTTGGTATGCATTTAAAATATGATTCGTTGCATGAATTTGTAAAAGGCTACAGTTATGTTTTACAACCTTTCCATTTCATGACCTTGTATTAAGCGTTCATGCAAATGCCTTGATATTTTAGATATAGGCGCAAAACAACATAACACTTATGATAAACCAAGAAGGCGGAGTAAATTCTAACTTTTGTACAAGAATGTTACAGTCTGAAAAGTTAGTCTTTGACTAGACCCTGTAGTTTACTTTGTACTTCTCTGAGTTGTCTTCTGTAACAGAAAAAGGGTGTATATGGAAATGTTAAATAATGAAACAGGACACAGGAATCAGTTACCATTAGTTTATGTTTGTAATAATGAGAGATCGCTTTTGAAAATCTAATGTTCTACAAGGATTTAAAAAAGTAAAATACATATTAGAAAATAAAGCTTTTCTGAATATATATATATTTTTTTAATCGAACGAATAAATTTTACTAATAAAAGAAAATAAGTTAAATACATATACTAGCTTGACATTTGACGGCAGTAACTTTTCAAAAACTACTTTTAAATGCTCTTGGAAATCATCACTTTAAATAACGCCCGGAGTTTGAGTGTATAACATACTTTTCAGCCGCCATCATTCGTAAATAGAGAGAAATTAAGAGCCCTAAATAAAGTAAGCCATTATTAAATTAATGCAGCCTTTCAATTATCAAAGGAAATCTTGAACAAAATGCGTTATTTCATCAGTTTCACTGAGCACAATTATCGTTACGTAATGTAAGCGCAGATCGAATTCTTTTCATAAAGTTCATTACCATAACATTATAACTTAACATTACTTGATTACTTTCTTTAATATAATATTTTAAAATGTTGTACACTTTTGGGAGAGACATATATGTATACTCCTTATCAGCTAATGTAGAGAGCTGGCCTACTTATCAATTTATGATGTTCTATTTAATTTTCATTCTGACAACGGAACTGTTAACATCTTTGAAAGTAACTAAAGTATGTTCTTTGCGAGCTTTTTGTTACTTGTCTTTTGTAACCTGAGTCATCAGCAGACATTTGACCCAGGTTGCAGTTTCTCTAATGGTCAGTGTATTTACAATGTAAAACTCGGTCATGAGAAACATTGTGATGCGCCAACAAAACGTGCTTCGTCCGATGGTTCAAGTACGACGTCTTCCGGATTTCAAGTAATTATTTATTTTATACTTATTTTTATATTAGTATTTAAAAACTCAATTATGTTTTAATTTGGCATTATTCCGCTTACTTGAAGACTAAAAATAAACATCATTTGTTTTGTCATGGAAATGTGAAAGTTTATACATATATATATTGCTACAATGATGTTTTCTCGTAGTAATTTTAAATAAAACACTTTGATTTGTCTAAAATCAATTAACAAAAATGCAGGAAAGACATCCTAAAAGAATCATGTGCTACATTTATATGTACAGATAAAATGAATAGCATGATTTGTTGTAACTCAAGGCAACAAACACGCTAATCTAAACATAAACATCTAAAATAATTTTGTATTTTCATTTTTAGGTATTACAGTTTAATTTGATATGAGGTTTCCCTAAAGATTTTGTTTTCAAAAATTCAGGCTTGTTCATGCAAAGATGTTGAGAGCCTTCAAACGAATATGAATTCCCTTCTGTCAACTGTAAGCGCACTTCAACATAACTTCAACACAATGTCAAGTCAACTGAATGTTACACAAGAGAGACTTGGATTGAAAGAGTCCGAGATGGCAAGACTTCTTACTAACAACCACAATGTTACCACCCAGTTAGCCAATCAACAACTGTTGCTGAATAAAAGCAAGGTATTGTTATAATAAATCTGGTCTGCAATTTTAAGCGGCTTATTTATCTTTGTGCAAAAAAACTCGTAACTTTACAATATCTTGTGGTTGTCTAAGGCATTTAAGTTAATAAGACGTTGGTATGCTTACACCAAAATATGCAAAGAGGATACTTCTGCCCGTCGTGTCATGAGAGCAATAGTAAACTCACTTGTTACAGATGCATTGACAATGAACCAAACCTCAAGCGATAAAATTTAAATACATTGTAAATAATTAGCATCAGAAAAAAAACATTATTCATAGGATTTCTCTTCATTTTATTGTTCAGTAGATTTGATAATACGATATATGTCTTTAAGAATTCATATGTTTAATTTGAAAAGCTGGTTTCTTTGATTGTTATATCTTTCGAAATGTGACATAATTCTAGGACATTATACTATAACAGTATTATACAACACAATGACCTTATCCTGAAATAAAATATCATAAGCCTATCGTTACAAAATGTATTCGAATTGTTTTGATGTTTAAATAAATTATTATCATTTCAAGATGGTCATGGGAATAGTTTATACAAAAAATAAGCTTTAATCTATATGTGTATCATATCTCCTTATTTCTTGCACTTTACTAATACATTGTATTTTCTTCACATCAAAGCACTTAATCATAACACTTTTTATTGACAGACTGAGTTAGCAAATACTGTAGAAACGTTGAATAAAGAGCTTGACCGAGTGAGAATGGAACTACGAAACACAAATGATCAACTGACAACGTGCAAAATTGCTTCAAATCAAATCGATGGGCATAAGTCAAATACTCCCGGTAAGTTGTAATGTCTTAAGATAAGATAATGTCAAAGTCATGTCGAATAAGGTAAAATCATAGGTCTTTTTATCAGTTTGACACTGTTATTTGTTAAATTGTCAATGACATTATTTTACATATCACCAACCTTTTAAATACTATTAACGTATTAAAGTACCAGTAAATTGTAATGTTATCTTTTTTTATAAAGAATTTACATCTTTAAGTCGTATATGTGACATATCGACAATATACATATTCGATGATTTTTTGGTTGGGTTATATGCGGAACCAACACATACAACTGACCTCCAAGCTTCACTTGTGGAGGAGGATCTCAGGTGCCATTCTGTGCATTATTTTTGGCACGAACGGGCACATGAGTAGAACTACAGACGTTCTGTAAGCTAGCTGGATAGCTTCCTCACATAAAAGATGACAGGGCGTAAATGTCACGTGGAAAATATGAACGTGAAAACGTGGGAAGTGTTACATGAAATGTTATTCTCAACAGCATATGCTGTTTAATGTTATTTTTTGTAAGGAAGCATGATGAAATACATCACATCACAGAAATGAAAAGTCAAGAAGACGTGTTATACATCTTTCGGATGCTGTAAAGATACTAAACGTAAACAATATATTTAGCGTGATCGACAAAATAAATACTTACTTATATAATTGTTTCACGTTTAAACAGACGTTTTGCATTTTTAATTGCAACAGTTTTATATGGCAATTTTGTGACCCACTATTGCGGATTTGAGGACATTCATAACTGTAATTATACACTTGAAACGTGTAAAGGCAGCGACGAAGATTGTTGGACTAAAGGCACTGGACGACAGGATGTATATTCGGGCCCAATCGAAGATCACACTTTCGGTGCCCCTAATGGTAATAATGATCTTTTACAGCATTTGCAAAATTCCGAAAAAGTACATATAAAGTAAGGGACAGGATGAAATATTATTTATATTGGAAGATAAAAATTCCTTTTTCATTAGGTAGCATATGAATAATTAAAAAAAAATGATATATAAAACGGTCATTCCGATAGATTTGATATCCTTGAATGATAAGGTAAAGTGATGTGAGGAAGCAGAATTTTTGTGTAAACAAAATGTATATACCCAAATATGACCATGTTTTGAACGATAATTCAAAATAAACTTCCTAGCATATAATTAATAGCTATGTTTTAGTTGTAAAATCCATAGCTGGCATTTGTTTTAGGGCATTACATGTTCATTGATCCAAGCCATAAACCAGCTTACTCATCGTCATCATCATCGTCGTCTTCATCGCATCCTTCTAGATACGCTCGAATGACTTCTCCTACACTTCCACCAGCAAATCGTTATTGTGTAAGATTCTGGTACACACTCGTTGGACGGGACATAGGAAACCTGAGAGTTTATGCACAGGTAAGTTTCTTATACTGGGTGCACATTGATCGTTGCTTAAATAAAATTAAATCATCAGCTCACATAAGCATATATAAGTTAACATATAATGAATTTCACATTAGCCAAGTCAATATACTTGGATATTCTCCGTTATCTCCATACAATAGATGTTTTTATTACATGACGAAAATAAGATTCATTATTTGCTAAATTTCTAAAGTTCTCTAAGACAGGCGGCAAAAAAAAAAAAGAAAAAAACGAACGTATTTTCATGTCTTTGGCATTGTTTCTTATTTAAATATGTGTGCATGCTCATTATTTAATTACATAGTTGTATTTTTGCCCGGATGAATACTGTCTCAATTGACCTTCAATTGCATGAAGGTGTTGTTATAAATTATATAATAGAATGTAAAAATAAAATGGTACATCCTCATACTGTACTTGTGTACCTGTGATAATAAGGATCGATCAAGCTCTGTTTTGCGCAATATATATAAACTGTAAAGGGACATTAATTTGATAACGTTTTTATGTCAGGTTGGTGGTGGCAATGGGTACCCTGTATTTGAGATGTCTGGACAGGTTGACAAGTACTGGCATATGGCACAGATATCTCTTGATTCAGAGTATACAGCTCAACCGTTCAAGGTAAGAATTATGTTCGGATCATTTATTCTATCAAACATACAAAAAAAATCAATGTCATGACTTAAAGTCTATTATGACATTAAGTATATCACTATTCAATGTCAATAAGGGAACTGGTGTTCGGTTCAAGATTGGGCTCTAAGTATGGTGGGTGAAACAAATGCTACGTGAAAACCATTGAAACGGATGGCTAATTTATTAAAGCCAATGATACTATCACCTTGTCTTTTTATTCAAAGTGTAACTCCAAAATAATTAATCACACAGCTGAACAGTTTGGATTGAAAGTAAAAAAATCTGACGCGTCGACAAATTCTGTTCCTTTAAATAAATAATCTTTCTATGATATATTTTTTGTGATTAATGAATGCTTTGAAGGTTTCATAATTTGCGGAAATTTATTACTTTAACAATTCACTATTTAATATTTAAGTATTGAACATTACTTTTGCCAGTGCTAGGGGCAAAGACGACTGCGGCACGTACAATTACTTTTCAGGAACAGACTGAATCAAATAAAACCTGGAACATTTTCAATTTTGCCATTTTGGTCCTTTTTGTTTAACTATATGTTAGTAAATATGTCGCTCTACGAATCCTTATTTCTATAATTTGTAGATTGTGATTGAAGGTAGCACAAATTCGTACTATGTGTACTCTTACAACTCCCACCATACCAATCATAATATGCAAGGTTACATATCCGTCGATGACGTTTACATTTACAATACTTCGTGTACCGGTAAGTTGAAATACGCTGTCAGTCCTCCTTAGTTTTCATTTTTACACTTGGTAATTTCTGTTCTCGGAATGCTACACAAAAATGTGCTAACTGAGCAAAAAATCTCTACTTTAAGTGCAGTCTGACATGTTGACTGGAAGTGGATAAACATAACATGGCTTAACTGTAACAAAATTTATAACGCATAATAACTTACTTAAAAAAATGGAAAGTATTGTTTTTTTTTCTATTGTGCACACTTCATTAATTAAATAATAAAAAATGATTAATGGTTGATACGAGGCGAGGATCAAATGAATATTTTGTTCCTAAAATATTTGTTTGTTTTGTGACAGATGTACCAAAATGTCCTGCCGGAGCTAGAAAAATGACTGTCGGTAACGTTACCTCATGCTACACTTTTCATGTGACACCAAAGTCTTGGTCCGAGGCTGTCAAAGTTTGCAAAGCTGAGGCACCGAACGCTCATTTGATAAGTGTCAACTCCAAAAAAGAACAAGACTTTATCTCGGACACTATACAGAGCGATGCAAGTTAGTATAAGAAATCATTGGATCTATCGCATTTTGCTGATGATATAAAAATGATTTGATAAAATTATTATAAAAACGCTATACGTATATAGAATACATTAACCGTTCTAACAAATTGGATAACTATCACATCTTACAAGATATTGTCGTCGTTTAATTGAACACATTCATTTATCATGTTAAATATTTGGCAACCTATATCTGACGATATGCCTCTCGAATGGTTTATGTTCAAAATTCAGTGCCACAATAAAATTTAATAAATAGGGTTAAAAGTAATATCAAATCAGATGGTGTGAGAAACAACTTTCCAAATACAAAATTAAGCTTGATAAAAATAACAACAGAGAAGCGCATTACTGCAAATTATTCCTTATATTATAAGTATGTATGTCAAAATGTCTTTATTCTACTTAAAATTATTTTAGCATATTCGTCGGTTGGAAGCTCTGGCTGGTACACGAGCGGTTCGGATGAAAGAAATGAAGGTAGTTTTGCGTGGACCGACACGGGCTTCCCGTATGCATTAAACTACACAAACTGGCACGTGGGCCAACCAAACAATGTCGGTAACGTCCAAAATTGCCTTCTCCTGCAATACAGCGACGTCAAGTACGAGTGGGGCGATATTAATTGCCAGGACAAACATCCATTTATTTGTGAAATGCACGTGTAATGATAATGCAATTGTTAAATGCACATGTAAACAAAATAAAGTCAAAGAAATGTTTTAATTTCTTTTATTTAGAAATAATTGTTAATGTTTTATATGATATTCTACATTATGAATTACCCTTTTCTATATAGGAAAAATAGATTAAAACCAACACAATTTACTTTAATAAGCTTCATCAGTTGATAAATAACAAAAGAAATGACGTAAACGTACAAACAGACGTCTACGGTTTTTCTATATAGGAATTTGACAAACCATTTTTTTCTTTAAATATTATTTAAAAGCATGTTCATTTTCTTCACCCAATTTAACTTCTTACCTGTTATCACAATGGATATTGAATTTTATTTCATTCTAAGATCTTTGTGGTTGTTGTCTGGGTGGGACAGAACACAAATCCAGGTTTACATTTTTTCAGTAAAGATTAATTCTTATGAGGTTAGGTATAGACCCCACTCATTTTAGTAAGAATTTCAAACAGAAAACAATAATTTTACCTAATGTGAAACAACGTTACAAACACACTATTTTACTTTTCGTAATACAATACTATTTCAATGTAGTTGCAATAGTGGTAGGGTTAATTACTTTATTGAAACATCTAAAGTTTTTTGTTTTGTTTTTAAAAAATACTTATTACCTTTGGATAGATTTATTTTCGACCGCAGGTCATAAAATGTCATGTTATATAGGTACTGTAATAATATATAGCGAATGTATTGTGTTCGTTTTTCCATCTGCTTCGTTAATAATTCGACTTTGAATTTATAGTTTACTGTATACATTTCACCGTATATTTTATACTTATACAGTTGTTCAATCATAAGTCGCTTGATAGACACTGTTAGAAAATACTTTATAGTAATTACGAAAACTTAATACATACGATATGAAGGACTATTTTAACTCCGAGAGGGATATTTGTAAATGTTTACAGCTATCTCTTTTTAAAACAATGACATGTTAAGCGCAAAAAGTACTTATGTCTAAGCTTTCAAATGTTTCAGATCTTAATTTATTACATTGACAAATATGCCGTACGTACCTCAAAATGTTTTGTTTTGAATTTAAAACATTCCCATTATTTGTTAATCATTATAAATTGATGATAAGGAATTAAAAAGCAAATTTCGAATAGAAATTGCCATAAACACCTCTTTCTCTAACGAAGAAACAAATAACATAAAATTTCACAAAATTATTTTTGCTAATGTTTAATGAAGTTAACATTTTGTTACATAACTTTTATTTATCCTCATCTACATATAAGCAAATCAGTAAAACAAGATTACCGCCAGTGAACTATTCAAGTGATTTTTAAAGCATAGTTTATACATGTATTCACATTCTGACGTCACTGGATATACACGGTAAATACATAAATGCATTAATAAAGAGCAAAAATATATCAAGGCCTAATGGAAGACTTTAGAGAATATTTAGCAACAGATGAAGTAAATGTTCTATGTGATTTTAGTTATATTGAACTTATCATAAAAGCTTTAACACAAATTTGATTCAATTTTAAAAACATTTTAACTAGCATGCTTCGATATCGGTAAAGTAGAGTAAATAAGAATCCCTCAAGAAAGTTCAAAACGGCCAAATTGAAATTTTGCAGGCTTGGTTTGATTGAGTCTGTTCATGGACAATGCTATCAAGTGCAAACACCTAACTACGCCCCCTGGCACCGGCTTTAGCAGAATTCAACATTTAAACATGAAAATGGTAAAACTTTGAGTTTAGAAACCTCCACAGATGTGTGATGATCAAGTTTGCTGTATCAACTTTAAACAGTGCAACTCTAATACTAATTCATTTTATTTCTTTTTGGTGAAAAAAGAACTTCTAACGCCAGAACAATCACTCATCAACATCACAACTATGACAGAACAAATTATAAATACCCCGACACCCCCCGTTGCTTGCGAAGATACTCTTTTATCTTTTGCACTTGTCAATTTTCTTATCTGTCTTTTTGTTCCGTTTTTAAGTACTGTCATTTCGCGAATCATTGTTTTAAATTCTGGGGTTTCCAAAACTCCGGAAAGGTCACCACCTAATATCCTTCGACATACGCTGAAACGCTGCATGTTGCATGACAGTGTTGTCAGAGTCATGTTGTTATTGTTGAAAGACAAACAGTCTGTGGCCGGTGCTCCTGTGTCCAAACCATGTGCTGGGAACAAAACAATATTGTAAGAAATAATTGTTAAAAAACAATCTTGCAATATTTTAATTTTTCAGATTGCAATTTAAAAGATTTCGCATGAAATGAAGATTAAAAGATTTGTACTTACTTTAAAATAAAACTAACTTTATTAATTAATTCAGTCCTGCAAGCGCGTTTAAAGAAAGTGTACTTGACGTTCTGATTATTCATTGCCTTAATTTCGTCTATGTAATTAACAGATGATTTTTTATATCTTATATTATGTCCTAATGCATCATTTAGCTGTTTGAATAACGGGCGATTCTTTTCTGATCTACTGGGCTTTTGTTAGTTCAGATAGAAATAAAACCAATACTTAAGGCTCAAATACCTTTCGAAGAAGCACTTGAATGAGGATGACCTATACGATTAGTTGAAGGTGATAATTACTGTAAATGACAAGCATAGCGTCACTATATCCAGATGGAGATGAGGAAAATGAAGAGTGTGACATTTAATGCACAACGGACTCTGGTTGCCTCGGGGACATCTCCCTGTCTACATAGAGGTTAAATCACTCTTTCTTTTTTAAGCAGTTTAATTTTAAATTCATTCTATTTTTTTCCGTTTTGATCGATGTATCGATGTATGAATTTAATAGTAGTTTTCCCGCTGTTGACCTATATTTATAGTTGAAACTTATCTTCCTATAATATCAAATCTAATGATCAGGGTCGACATACAATTTGTTAATGATGTCATGGTATAATAAAACTTTCGAACAGAAAATGCGTTGATTTCGGGGATACCCAACTTACGTCAGTTCTTTGCTTTAAATTAAAGAAATAATATTTCAGCAGAGGCAAAGGTTAGTCATTTTTAGACAAGTTAATTTTTGGATATTCTAGACCTCCACCCCGAAAAAATAAGAATAAAAAACCCAAACAAACAAAAACATGTCAATATCGCATATTCTTCTTTTCAGACGTATGCTCGGGTTACATATAAACATATGGCAGACTGAAAACTGTATAATATAGTAAAGTTAAACTTTGCATGATAAACACAAAAGAATAAAGACTACATAAGATGATACTTTGATTTATTTTCTCCTACCTCCAACCCAGAATGTCTTGCTGTCTGAAACAACTTGCGGAATCTGTGTTAGTATTGAGAAGTAATTTAATGGATCTAAAAACATTGCCAACGTTGCGTTCATCCTATCGTTACAAAATTGAGATGCTTTGTTATAATTTAACGGAACTGTGTTAACGTAATATTCCTCTCGACCAATTGTGACCCATTTCGTACCTAGAGTGTAAAGATACTGTGCAACATAATGATTCAGATAAATCGTTGATTTCATAGAAATATATTGCATACAATTTAAATAATAGTAAGCTATACTAATAATAATTCTTTAAATTCTATGGCATAGTAATTCTGGCTTGCACTTTATTTGAAATAAACATCTACTTTTGTACAGTTGTCTTTCTAAGCAAGCTACAATGTAGTATATAATTCACAGCAAGAAGTTTATCTAAAAAATGACATTTTAACTCTGCTCATTAGAAATGTGAGGTACATAGTGAGTTTTGGGTAAATCAATATCCAATCCGAACATATGTTTTGTCGCAGGTAAAATAAAATAGCAAAATTATCCGATTTTATACGAATACACGAGTTTGCAAATAATTTAGTAATAATTTTTATTTGACAAATTGGCTCGGGATAACTTGTAAATGAATTTTCTTATCTATTTTTATCTTTACGAGAGGGGATTTTTCTTAAGTTGCTGGAAGTACAGAAAATTAGATAAGGTATATAAGGATCGATTTATAATATTATGTTGTGAAATAAACTCGAATATTTTACAATTACAAGTATGTATGTTAGCTACCTTGAACTGTACTTGTCATAACCATTGCCGGCGCATTTGTCCCCGAGACAATGCTCAATGATGGCATATAAGTTTGCTTTGTACTGGGGTTGGTCGTATCTGGTGTACTCGTTGATGGCATATGTCCTTGTTGTGTAATTGATGTTGTCTGAGTGCTCGGTGATGCCGTCTGAGTTTGTTGTGTACTTGTTGTCGGAGCGTGTGTGTTCTCTGATGACGTGTGGATTTGTTTTGTTTTTGGGATTGTCGGAGCTTGAGTACTTGTTAATGACGTCTGAATTTGTTGTGTACTTGTTGTTGTATGTGATTGTTGTGTACTTGTTGTTGTCGGAGCTCGAGTGCTCGTTGATGCCGTCTGAGTTTGTTGTGTACTTGTTGTTGTCGGAGCTTGAGTGCTCGTTGTTGACGTCTGAATTTGTTTTGTTCTTGGAATTGTCGGAGCTTGAGTACTTGTTGATGACGTCTGAGTTTGTTGTGTACTTGTTGTTGTCTGAGATTGTTGTGTACTTGTTGTTGTCGGAGCTTGAGTGCTCGTTGTTGACGTCTGAATTTGTTTTGTTCTTGGGATTGTCGGAGCTTGAGTACTTGTTGATGACGTCTGCGTTTGTTGTGTACTTGTTGTTGTCTGAGATTGTTGTGTACTTGTTGTTGTCGGAGCTTGAGTGCTCGTTGATGACGTCTGGGTTTGTTGTGTACTTGTTGTTGTCGGAGCTTTAGTGCTCGTTGATGACGTCTGAGATTGTTGCTTAGTGGAGATTGTGGGAGACTGTGTGCTTGTCGATGATGATGTTTGAGGCATAGTCCGGGTTTTTGATTTAGTGCTGCTATATGTTTGCTGTGTACTTAATCGTGTTTGAACTGTCGTGCCTGGTTTATCACTCATACAAAGCACACTATACTGATTCTGTGCACTTTTATTGGCTGCTATGTGTACATAAGGTCCAGAGAATTGCATAACAGTTCCCTCCTCATTTCCATTCGGGCAAGAAACATCTTGAAAAGAAAAATAATTATGATGCATATAACGTATGTTCCAGATGCAGTTTGATACGTGATGATCGGATCTAGTTAATATATTATGGCTCGTAAAAGAAATGCAGTTTATTAAAAAAAAATACGGCCTTCCATTTTTGTACTCAAATAATTACCTGAACTGTGTAACCAAAATTCGACTTTCATCCGTCCCGTTATCCCAAGCTCTGTGCCCAAAAGTCCCATATAAGTGTAGTTTCCGCCAGGAGATATTTGACTGTGCCATTTTTCACAAATATATTTAGCATAGCAATAAGTGTATTGGGTGCCAGATAGCATATAATAAAGACCTCGACCAGCAATTTGCACCCAATCTGAAAATAATATATGAAAATGGTAGAAATTCAAAATGCCTTATGATATTTAACTCGTCTATGAGTCACATGTAGTGTTAACTTTTAACCCATAAGCTGCTGAATTAATTGAATGGACTTGTCCATTTTCTATAATTGGAACTTACCATTATTAACATTTTCGGGATGTCAACATTAGTGAATCAACAGTTTAAAGCCTGCCTCTTAAATGATGACACATGCCAATCTTTTTCTGTGCGCCTTGCTCTTAGTGTAAACCTTTTGTAAGCATGGCTCTTAACTTATGAGAACTTCACATCTTATTTTCCTGTGCGCCTTGATCTTAACTAATGACAAATTCATTTTTTTCCTGTACGTCTTGCTCTTAATGCCTATCTTTTTCTGTACGTCTGACTATCAACTAATGACAAATGCCATTTTTGTGCGTCTTGCTCCTAACTAATGACAAATGCCAATCTTTGTCTGTGCGGCTTGCTCTTATCTAATAACAAATGTCTCTATTTCTCTACGCCTGGCTCTTAACTGATGACAAATGTCAATCTTTTTCTGTTCCTGCAGAGCATTAAGGGTTAAATAAATATTAGAATAGCCAAATTATTCTTTATTAACGACTGAAACAATAAATGCTCATAGCAGAATAACATAAAATAATCTAATAATATCCTAACCATGCTTAAGTTCGTGACTAGTGTTCGAAGCCTTGCAGAATGATTTCTCATTTTCGCAAATCGGATACTTCTTTGACGTACATTGTTCATTCTGGTTCATTAAAACTGCATCCCCATCGAATGTTATTGTTCGGCAAAGTAGACCTGTATTGTGTAGCAAAGTAAGATAAAGCCATTATGCAGCAACTTGATAATCTTATCAAACTTGGTACATGTTTGTTTGAAATATGGTGTATCAATCTTGAAATTTAAAAAGACACTGAAATATTAAATAGTTAACAAAATGATACGTTATAAAAAATTAAAATATATGTCTAGATATACAATTATATGTAAGAAAGTTGAAAAAACCATGCTTGTGCGATAACGTTAATGATTATTATGGTGTTAATTTTTACGACGAAGACGCCAACGAGGACGATGATGAAGATGATTTGTCGACGATGATAACGCTGGTGATTTGTATGCTGACGACGACCATGATGCTAATAATGATGATGGCGATTATGATGATGTTGATGTGTTAAAAACATACCACTTTAAGGATAACAAAATCAACTCTTACTTTCTTTATTTATCCAATACGGTTCTTTGTCAGTCTTTACTATTCGGCATGGTTGGAAAAATGTTGCAATAGACTGTGCCGTTTTTGATCCTAAATCTACAGGTGCACTTCCAGACATAGTATTACAAAACCCTCTCATACTGTCAAAAGATACGTTGTTTTTACCAAAGAAGAAGCATTTGTCATTACATGTCTGCCAACCTGAACTCGATCCGCATTCTGAATAACAATAAACTTATATTTGCAGATTTAAGGCAAATAAAATGTGTCAAGAAATTTAAAGAAACGAAAGAAAAGAAAAAAAGAAGAAAGAAATGGTATTAAAACAATAAATTGTTACACCATATAGTATGAAACTTCAAAACGTCAAATGGAATACTTGGAAAGCATATAGTTGCCAATGTATGTGCAAATTAGATTGCAAATTGGTTCCATAATTTTAAAACTTTCAAGCTTGTCCTTTTTAATGTGTGTTCAAATTACATATAATTACTGGCTAAAATGAAAGGAAATAAATAAACAAATAAATAAGAAAATAAATAAACAATTAATAAATGAAATAATAAAAAATAAGTAAATTAGAAAATAGATACATAAAAATCTATTAAAAATTGTTGTAAGTGTTACTTGCGAAATACGTTTTACTAGCATATGCTAAATAAAGAAAGCATTTTTTTTTTCAGGATAAAATGACTGTCAAGAACAATGTCACAAGAAATTTTCTAAAAACATTCTATAAATAGATGGCTAATTAAAGGAAAATCGTTATTATATAGCGAAATTAATTTGTACAATCTGCAACTTTTAAAATATGAAACATTGTTTTTATATATTCACAAAATAGTTCTATAAGTCTTGTTCAAGGCTTTGAGATTTTCTTGTTATTTTTAAAGTTTTATTTTTATTTGGCTACTTAGGAAAATGAACTCAAAATAAACTAATAAAAAATGCAAAACCTATCAATCAATCAAATATCGATAAAAATTGATCAAAAGCTTACCTCTCACTTTGATGAAAACAAGAATAATGTTAAATCCCAACACTATCGTTTTCATCCTTAATATATTTCGTACTGTGCGCGTTCAGAGTCTACTGCTTAGATTAATTTCAAAAATTGTAATTTAAGCAATCCCTACAAAACGAAAATGTTTAAAAAAACATTTCTTCTTATATTTTCCCCCATTTTGTCGCTTTTTTTTATCTATTTCCTTTTATTTTAAGTTGTGTTTATTAACAAACAATATTTCATATCAACCTGACATTGCAAAAATCGTTTTCTATTGATGGATGGATTAGTGTCAATCATAGCGGACTTCCTTCCGGTATTTACTTTTCTGCTTAAAATATAATTTAATAATTCACTGATGAAAAAGGTTATTATAGATAAGATCCTTAGAAACACAACAAAGTTGTAGGTGACTAACTTGTTACTGGAATAACCCATTGTCGCAGTAGGAGTCAAATAATAGGATAATCAATTTCCCTTTTAATGATAAATTGATAAACTCCAGTATGCTTATTCATTTTAAAATTTACCAAATAATTCAAGCCGGTTGGCACCTCAACGCGACAGAGCCAAAACAAATTAGATGGAAATCTGATAGTCTCGTTTTAAACCATATATATATACTAGATATATTCTTATAAAAATGATACAATATTTCTACTTATTTATGAAATATCTTTATTACAACCAAGCATTCTCTTGTGTAAATCAGTAATTCGTGGACACGACGGCGTTTGCTATATAGTTGATGTAAACTCCCATAAGAGCATTTGTTGTATGAAATGATGTAAGGAAGCTTCTTGGTGCCAACCTTAATGTAAAATAGATAAAACTCTGATTAGGACTTTGTTACGCTCCTTAATAGAAATAAGATAAAGACCAGTACGCTTCCTTGGTGTTCACAGGATGCGGTATATTTAAAGTTTGCATGAAAATATTGTGGTGGTAAATGGTATCGAACATTTAATTTTTTTTTCAAATTTTACTGTATTCAGATCTGATGACAACATTTGCCAATTGGTGAATGGTTTATCATTTTTTGCCTTTAGCTAAGTTGTCTATTTGAAATTTCTGTGCGAAAATTAAAGTTCTTCTTCTGTCATACTGTATCTGTCAGTAAATGTTGTTTTTTTTTTAAAAAAATCACAGTTGAGCAATGTCTAGCACACTATATATTTCAGAAAATTAAGTGATTATTATTCTAATGCGTGCTATCCGCATGGGTTGAAACCTGTCATTGGAAAGCCGTTGTTTTCTTGAGCACTGGTTGGTTCCAGGAACGGATTTGAAAGTGTGTCTATAAGCTTATTGCTTCCTACACAATCGAACCAAAATGTATACGGTATAACCCAAGAAAATACCTTACATCTACATTCCATGCTTTCATTTTAATAACACATATCATTAACGAAATAAATATCATTTTATTTGGAATGACTGCGTTTAAAGGAAAAACGACACGAAGCAGGATGTAATGCTTGTGAAAAACAGTAATATTTTAACCTTTCAGGTTGATATACGATCAAACATATTACTGCAGGTGGCAGTTGCGAAAGGGAACATTTGTCAATTTATGAAGTAAAAAAGCAGCATATGGTGCCAGGAATTCTGTCTCTCTAGCGAAGAAATCATTTCCGTTCAATTATAGTTAGCAAATATTTGTGAGTTTGCGAGTAACTTATAAAAAACACAATATCGGTTAATACTTACAAGATGGATTTATTCCGTTGATAACGGCATTGATTATGTTGCCAATTTAGTTTCTTCCTTAGCAAAAAGACTGAATGAGACATTATTTAAAAACTGATAGTATATCAGGGATTTTTTTCTGAACTAAAACCCTTTTCAATCATGCCTTTTTTCAGAGAACTTTATAACTTGAATTGAAAAGGTTTTGAATCATCCTATACAGTAAAAACGTGCTTTGCGACGACCCGAGACCAACCATTTTTAAATCCGATTTACAAATGTACGTCATTTATATAAACAAAACACAGAAATTGTGCTATAGTTACGACGAATCTGTGCAATATCCGACCGTAACTAGCAACATGGTAAGTAAACGGACCAATTAATCTTATAGTAAATAAACTAAATAAGCTAATATATGATATATGGCTGTAAAGACATAATATTTTTAACCTCATAAAAAACAGGAAAAATTGTTTTTCAAGACTATTGGTTAGAATGACAACCTGGTCCCGTTTGTTCAAAACATCGGATGGAGTTAATCACTGGATACGCATTTTATTCATAAGATAACTTTTCAGCAACAGAATTTATCCAACAAACAAAATTTTGTCAGTGGATAATTATTTTATCCGTTGGTTATCACCAACCAATGTGTCCAGGCTGCCACAAGAAAGCTTTTGTGTTAAGTCGATGTTTATTAGTATAATGCATATATTACGTAATTGGTTTTTGAATTCGGTATACCCGAGACATGTGCCTTCTTGTCAATTTAACATTAGCAGACAACATATAATTAAAAAATATGATAAACAAGATCATCAAGGAAAGGCGGCGTTCAATGAACGCAGCCCCCACCCGACCCAGTAACAAGAGCCATTGGCAAGGAGCCCAGGAGGACCCCAAGCAAAAACAGGGACTTTTAAGCCACTTTTGATAAGTTTTTCCTGATTTTGTGACAGTTGCACCGAGATAGCACTTTTACCGTCATTAAATATCCCAATCACATTGTATCTACTTTCTTTGGGTGTTATAAGACACCAGGTCACGTGTTCATTTAAGAAAAGACCAGAAACAGGATCAAATAACTTGATTTTAGTTTCAATGTTTAGATTTATTAAACTAAAATTGATTGTATTTTGCTAGAATTAAACGGTACATTAACAAAGTGTAAATAGAGTGCTAACTTTGCAAAAACAACAACTTTATTCGGGGATAAAATCCACGAAAAACAAAACAAGTACAAAAATAATCGGATCGAAGTAGTGATCAATTTAAGGATCAAGATCAGTATTTGGGTCAACTTTAAAATGAATATAATCTTATAAAATAACAATAAATGTATTTTGAATTTTTTTTCATTAACATGCGATTTCAAGTCAAAATTGCTTTGGGCTAATACTAAATTTAAATCTATAAAGATGTACAATGGAGAATATTTAAACTTTTAACATTAGTCCTGATCTTGATCCTTAAATTTTTGTGAGCATAGGACCAGGAGATCGGCAAATGCCTAAGAACATTATAGATGATATAGAACTTATTTATACAAGTTGCCTACAATACGGTAGGCAGCTGCAGGCTATCATTCTCACGAATGATCTTCAAATGTCACCATTTTCCTTGAAATATTTGTAATGCGGGTTAAAAGTCTTAACAACCGTATGCGCTAATTCATTTCTTTCAATTTGATTTATTATAAAATGAAAAGTCCTTTACTTACCGCTTTGTTCATTCCAGTCATTTATTTGCACGTATTCGTCGTTACTATTGCACATAATTCCTATATTAGTTTTTCATTCACTACGAGCTACGGATATTAACTGTGTAACGTGCTATAGAATGCCAAGTGATTTTATGTAATGATAAAATGTGTTCAATCTACACCATATAGGATGTTCAGATTGGCAAAAATGGCTATCTAGTTAACTGACAACTGCAGTGACCATAAAAGGGTTTATTTACATTTGTCTTTTTGTATCATATAAATTATTCGAGTTCTCGGCGATGGTATCTTGATGAATCATAAATATTACAAAGACCATGAGGAACAGTCATTAGAATTACTATAATTGTATGCATTACTGTCTTGCTTCACATAACATTTAGAATTAAACAAGAAGTATCTTAAAACAAATATACTCAGTCGAAGTAAAACTGGGTAATTTGCATATAGTATTTAATATACGTTTTCAATACATAAAGAAATGTAAGCAATGCTTGCAAAACAATGACAATAATTTCTTGTAGCTAACTCATTTTGTATAGAAATTAAATTTAGTTTAAAAGCGTTTTGATATTGATGTCTCTTCAAAGTATGACAGCTTCTAATTACACTATTTAAATAATTGTTTCTATAACTTGACTTTACGTCTGACATTATATTTTGTAATCATGTGTAATATTTACATTATTTAAAAAAAGAAGCACAAATGAAATATTGCAAATAGTAATAAAAGGATAATGGATAGTATAATTCAACAAACTACTTAAAGACGTTTTATCTTTAATTTAATGCCAATAACTATGATGATAAAAATATAACACTGTAAAAACGTTGATAATCGGTCTTGGTTCACAAATAAAAACAATTGTGATTTCTAGATATAGACAAGTGAAGATATAGAAAAGTGATTCATAACCCGACCCACCACATTATGTTTAATTTTGGAAGTCATAAGCCAATTTAAACTTCACATACAAATAGAACCATTTATTTTTGTTCTCAATAATTTCGTTACAGTTCACTTATACTCTCAATGTAAATTACTTATTTTTATAGCACGAAAATAAGAACGTTGTGTTGGTATAATAAATGCACGGATTTGCCAAATGTACAGAGAAACAAATTGACAAACCGAAAAACAACAACAACAACAACATCAAACAATACAACTTTTCCATATAAAAATATTTTTGTTACAATTGACAGAATTATCAATTGTGTTATTAATCTTGATAAAAGGAACACTGTTAGATGTATGTGTATGTTTAATTATAAATACTCAATTGATACGCAACAATATATGAAAATTATAAACATTATATCAATCGAACACATCAATAATCATATAATATATTACATACTTACAAAACATAGAAACTAAGGGTACCTGATAAGGTAGGATTTTTGCGCGCTTTTAGATATGTATATGCATAAGTAAACTTTCAGGATCGTGAACGTTATCAGTGTCGTTATTCTGGACAAAATTTATAACTAAGTAAGTTCTTGTAAAAATAAACTGTTCGCTAGAAAATGTAATTAAATATAAACGCGGTGTAAAATGTTTTGCGGGAGAAGTTGTGGTTAAACAGACCTTAAATATCTGAGCAATTTAACTAGAGAGCTAAAAAACTACCCTTTAGATTTCATTTTAGAATTATCCTTTTATTTTGTAATGGCAAGAACTATCCTTTACATTTGTTGTATAACTATCCCTAAAATTGTTGTCTTAGAATGACAAGAACTATCCCTTACATTTTATTTTAGAATGACCAATTGATTTCCCAGATTTCAGTCGTAATTTATGAATAACCAATGAAAATTCTTCTTCTATTCAGTTTATTCCCTGTAAAATTTACAGGAAGTCACACTTCGGCCGAAAAAAAGTTATTTTCTAAACTAGTTAATGTTAATAACACAAATTTTTAATTCACTTGTATGCAATCAAGCAAAGTAAACAGATGAACAAACATAATAACTGTATGGCATTTTATCAGGTGATTCAGTCAAGTAAATTAATCAATACATCCCCAACATATATTATCATTTTAGGATGCTCAATTTTCAATGGCACTTTGCTGAAAATTCTGCAAGTTTATTTTTGCTTTATAAAATCTTCTTCAACACATTAGATTAGACATATCGATCAACAGATGACCTCCAGGCTTGTTCTCCTGAAAAAAAGATGAGGAAAAAATACGTGCAAATGCATGTGGTATCTACATTAAATAAAAAGGATTATTACGAAGCGCTTAAATATTCATTATTCTTGCAAAAAAATCTGCGCATGCAGGAAAGAAAAAAATGAAACATGTATAATGGATAAAATCACGTGGGCGCGCGCTTTGTTGCATGGACACGCCAGCATGAAAAAAGCTTAATAATAAACTAAATTTTAAAATAAATATACGAAAAACAGATATGCAGGATAACCTATTTTGAAGTATGCAAGAATAGCGACTATGTGTTTTAAGAAGCCATTGGACCTATTAAAAAAATTCTCCTCCTGCGGGCAAGGGCTTTAAGTTCAACCTTTGTCTGCAGATATCCATGCAAGCATAAAAGTGCACAAACCCTCTATTGTTATTCGCAAATTCGAATATATGAGACATTTCACGCGTTCACTTCTTTCACTACCCTAAGAAGCGGGTACAAACTACTTCAACCCACTAGGGAATGAACTTACAGAAATCTGAACTTATAGGCCTACAAAAACAGTGAATGTTTGTATACAAAAAGGTTTGTTCTCTTATTCTTGTCATTAAACAAGCTATGCTTTAAGGCAATGAAAATTTATTTTTTCAAGTTTTGTATTTAAAATCGAGCGTGCAATGAATTTACCTTTTGGTGGCGGCGGATGTCTCACTGAAAATATATAAAATTTCAATTTAAAACTTCGAAATTCCAAAAAAGAAAATATACCTGGTAACAAGTTATTTTATCATAATTATTCTTCATAGACGTTTATAAAAATAGGCAGTTTGACAACATTATGGTTAAAGGTTAGAAAAATAAAAATACGTTTTTAAATATTATCGTTCTGTTATAAATTAGATTTTGGAATGTGATTTTTCTATGTTTCAATTAAATCAAATAAAATCTAAATAAACACGCAGAAACAACGGCTTAAATTTTCATACACTATTAACGCCTTATCTTTCCGGTGCATAATAAACGTGTATGTTATTCAATAACCAATATACTATGCAATGGTACATTCTGTAATATATTTTGCTTTTTGATGTTATAAATTTAATACCTGACACAAGGAATGATGGAAGACTTAAACGTGGCTCCGGAGGTGTCTGAGGTGTTGGTAATCTCCTTATCCTGGGACGGTATATCTTTCTCTTCTTTCCAAAACTGGAACAAACGAATTTCTCATATGTTGTGCGTTTTTTGAAAAAAGTCCCTGCAAACTCGAATATCATTCATTTCAAATTTTATCAAGTAATAACGCTGCAAGCATAACATGAAAAATAATCTCTCTTTGGTGATGCTCTCAAAGAGCATACTCATTACAAAACTTTGATGAAACTTACTAATTAAACAATATGTGTTTACATTTTACAAATGAGCGAATTTATATAGTTCAAGGAAGTCCTTCAATTCTTTTCATTCTTTGTAAATGTGTGAATTACTTACATATGTCTTTGGAAAGCTCCACAACCTTTTTCACCACTGCACGTGCCAATGATCCAAATAAGAATGCCTGTAATTAATGCAAGCACTATAATGCACGAGACCAACCATGGAATGTTTCTACTGTCTTCCATAAACGTCTTGAATCTGTCTGTCGATGTTGTTGTAGATGTAGTCGTTGTATCTAAAAATAGACAAGCCTTCTATAATATAGCATTCTATAAATAGTATCGCAATATGAATAAATTAATATTGGTTCAAGAATATAATGAATCTATGGTGGCATATTTCAGTTCATATTTCATATTAATAGTTAACCGTATACTTATAGCATTAACAGCAGATATTTATCAGACTAACTAGATATTTTTTCTGTGAGATAGATAAATAACGAACAAGTATCTAACTTCCAAAAACACTAGAAAGTGACCAGATCTGCCAACACTTACCAGTTAAATAACAGATAATAATTTGTTTATCTACAAAACTCTTGTGTTTGTTAACTTAAGTATCAGATAAGATGTCATCATAACTCTCTACAGTGTTGAGTATGATTGCTGGTGGCATCCATTTTTGAAACTAATGCATTGCATTTTAACCATAAAATCATTAGAACTAGTCTACAAAAATTGTTATGCGTATGCTCCACTTCACAATACGACTTAACTTAAAGGAACAAGTAATATCAAAATGAACAAATCGGTACAAGGGAAAATCGGAAAATATCATTTACGTTACTTAACACTACGAGCAAATGTTCAACAATGAAAATTATAGCAACAATATCATCATGCACTATTATATGACCGAATGAACCGTGTGCCGAAATTATGCTGTCCTTTAACTTTTAAACCGTATGACTAAATAACGCAACGGAAAAAAGACCTCTCGCATGCTTCTGTTTGAAGAACCAAACATGTTATCTGAATAACTAGATAAAAGTCAGTTACTAGATTATGCGGAGTGTTTCGGACATCTTATCTAGTATCTGTTAAATTTTCAGTTAATTGATAATAGATAAGAAACACAAGGGATATGTCTGAAACATTCCGCAAAAAAACTTGTTATTAAATGTAATTCACCTCAAAACTTTAGTTATTCAAAAAATTTTTAGTAAACAGATAATAGATAAGAAATGCAAGGGATAACATAGACAATAATTGAAAATTTATCTAGATAACAACACGTTAGGGTGAATTACATTTAATTACATGTTTTTATTAACTCTTAAAATCTCTTGGTTGCCCCGATCTTGGTAATACACATATCACGGGGGAGGAAGTGTTACACGAAGGATGGAGTTCTTATGATAACTTGTTTGGAGTTCTTATGATAACTGTCACGGAGTTCCTGGAAAATGTTACGGATTTCTGTGGAAAACTTTTCTATATACTTGGAGAACTCGCCTAAAAAATGGTTATGTTTAACTTTAAATGGGGAGTTTGAGGTGCTAAATTAAACTTTGATAATTAAGCTTGCCCTACATGTTGTATTTTGTTTCAGAAAAAATCTTTTAGTCCATATTTTGTCGCCTTTTTAAAAAAAATCTGCATGTTTTTTGAGAAAAATTACCAAATTACTTGCTAATTCGTACATATTGACCTTTTCATTTGTGATCTTCTTCGTTGCTATACTTAATTACCTAATTATTATGGAGAGTTGCAAACATAAAGCCCGGGCTAATAGATTTATACCCGAATTTTCAAATGTTACGGAGTTTCTTGCGATAACTCAAAATATGTCCTGGAGTTCTTATGATAACTTTTGTTACTGCCAGTGTGTTTTTGTGCTTAATCACGGCGCGTTTTAAGCGTATTTTATTAGACAATAAGTGTGTAAATCATTATTAAGCATAGTACGCTTATCATTTGCACAAAAATTTGGTTATATAACGTTGGTTTTGATTCGTTTTTCGAGTTCAAGAGATATTTTCTTACCTCCGTTTCTTGTGTTTTTTGTGTTTGTTTTGGTCTTTTTGTGTGTGTGTTTTTTATATTTTATTGGAATGACTGTAAACATACTTGATGTAGAGCATTTTCTTACAGGATAAAAATACGCTTTGAATAATGATTTGTCATATATACATTATTCCTGGCAGTTTTAGAGGAACATTAAGTAACTATGCTCAATCGGTATGCATGTAAATGGTTTTCAGCAAAATAGGAGGTAGTATGCACTACCTTTATCTAAATTTAATGAGGTGGGTGTCGTCTTTATGTTTCAACAGGTATTTTAATTTCTAAAAAGGTATCAGTTTTTTCATAGAAACTTATAAAAGTTCTATGACAATGATCACGGTGCATATCCATATCTGTAACTCTTTGCGAAATCTGCTCAAACGGTACCCTCTTCGAACATGCACAGGTCATGCTCAGCTAAAAAACAAACCAGCGATGGATAACAATCCAGTAAAAATTTCATTGTAATAAGGAAAGGAGGTATGACACGTAGAAAAGATGTATACCACGGAACACTAGAATGTTTCATTTATGTGCTGATTTTGTCATGTGCACGTTTTCATGTACTGCAAATTCACAATAAACTACAAAAAATCGACATATCTTGCCTCGCCCATCACATCGACATATTTTTTCGGGCTGAAATGAACCTATGGCTTGATTATATATGCATCACACATATTTAATATGTTCATATACATATCATCTTCTGACGAAAATGGGCAGTATATTGTCAAAAATAAATGGAAAATTCATAAAAACGCCCTACTTTCGGTTTTGCAGCGCACGGGCTACCTCTCTTCAATTGAATTTTCATGTCACAGGTACCCTCTCATTTTTTAACACATAGGTACCCTCAAAGCACGACAAATACTTTTATGTGTTAATCGCTAAGTATGTAATATTTATATATAAGTAAGAAATATTACATACATACTTAACGATTAACGCAAATAAAAGCATATGTCGTGCTTTGAGGGTACCTATGTGTTCAAAAATGAGAGGGTACCTGTGATATAAAAATTCAAATGAAGAGACGGTAAGCCTGTGCCGCTGCAAAACCGAAAGTAGGGTGTTTTTATGAATTTTCCATTTATTTTTGACAAATATACTGCCATTTGTCCGAAGATGATATGTATATGAACATATTAAATATGTGTTGATGCATATATAATCAAGCCATAGGTCATTTCAGTTCTGAAAAAAAATATGTCGATGTGATGGCGAGGCAAGACATGTCGATTTTTGTAGCTTATTGTGAATTTGCAGTACATGAAAAACGTGCACATGACAAAGCAGCACATAATTAAAACATTCTAGTGTTCCGTGGTATACATCTTTTCTACGCTGTCATACCTCCTTTCCTTATTACAATGAAATTTTACTGGATTGTTATCCATCGCTGGTTTGTTTTTTAGCAGAGAATGACCTGTGCATGTTCGAAGAGGGTACCGTTTGAGCAGATTTCACAAAAGAGGGTACAGATATGGATATGCACCGTGATCTTTGTCATAGAACTTTATAAGTTTCTATGGACAAAAAACTGATACCTTTTAGCCAAATTGAAAAAGAACCCGTTGAAACATAAAGACGACACCCAACACACCTCATTAATTTAGATAAAGGTAGTGCATACTACCTCCTATTTTGCTGAAAACCATTTACATGCATACCGATAGCAAAGATACTTAATGTTCTCTAAAACTGCCAGGAATAATGTATATATGACGAAATCATGATTTCAAAGCGTATTTTTATCCTGTAAAGAAATGCTCTAAATCAAGTATGTTTACAGTCATTCCAATAAAATATAAAAAAACACACACACAAAAAGACCAAAACAAACACAAAAAACACAAGAAACGGAGGTAAGAAAAATATCTCTTGAAACTGAAAAACACGAATCAAAAAACCAACGTTATATAAACCAAATTTTAGTGCAAAATGATAAGCGTCACTATGCTTCATAATGATTTACACACTTATTGTCTAATAAAATACGCTTAAACGCGCCGTGATTAAGCACAAAAACACACTTGGCAGTAACAAAAGTTATCATAAGAAACTCCAGGACATATTTTGAGTTATCGCAAGACTCCGTAACATTTGAAAAATCGGTATAAATCTATTAGCCCGGGCTTTATGTTGCAGCTCTCCATATAATAATTAGGTAATTAAGTATAGCAACGGAAGAAGATCACAAAAATGAAAAGGTCAATATGTACGAATTAGCAAGTAATTTGGTAATTTTTCTCAAAACTTGCAGATTTTTTTTTAAAAAAGCGACAAAATATGGACTAAAAGATTTTTTTCTGAAACAAAATACAATATGTAGGGCAAGCTTAATTATCAAAGTTTAATTTAGCACCTCAAACTCCCCATTTAAAGTTTAAAAAAATAACCATTTTTTAGGCGAGTTCTCCAAGTATATAGAAAAGTTTTCCACAGAAATCCGTAACATTTTCCAGGAACTCCGTGACAGTTATCATAAGAACTCCAAACAAGTTATCATAAGAACTCCATCCTTCGTGTAACACTTCCTCCCCCGTGCATTTGCAGGTTTAAACAATTACCAATTACTTAAAGAAGTTACACACGTACCTGATATTGTTATTGAAATTGAAGAGGTATCCGACAAACCCCCACCGTCGGTGGCAGTGGCCGTGATATAAACTGTTGTTGAGAAGTTAAGAGGAACGGGGGACTTTAATACTGTGATTTGACCGTTATTATCAATGGCAAAGTAATCATCTAGCAGTGATGTTTGGGTTAATATGTACGTCAGCGTTCCAAATGTTCCTGTGTCGTTATCAGATGCTGTCACTGTACCGACAACAGTGCCGACGGAAGCATAATAACTGACATAGAATGAATATGAAGCTGGAGAAAATACCGGCGTATTGTCATTTCTGTCGCCTGCAATAGATTTACGACTTCATGTGACACACTATATAATAATATACTTAAATGTGTGATAAATTTTGATATCGTAATCAATATTATGCTGAACACTTGTTAATATTCCGCCAATGAAATATGTTCTATATACTATTGCAATGTATATACAAATATAACTGAATGGTTTTCTTATTGTTAAAACTATAAATTGATTTACTCTAATCTTTACATTTGACAACACCACTTATAATGCCGAAAGTGGACATGAAATCTTCACGCTCAAACTATACTATAAATGTTTACATACTAGCCTTAATCTTGGTTTTACAAAAATAATATATTTGAAATACACTGAACCAAAGACTTTAGCTTCTTCTTTTTTAATTTTGAGAGGTTACAATAATTATAAATAAATCATCCAAACTTCGTATTTGTGCTAACTAATAATATGTCAGTTAAATATAGCTTTATCAAACGCGGATACGTGTTTTTTCAAGTTCAAACTGCATTATGCATTTGTTTAAAGATATGTACAAACCGTTATATATCTATGATATACATACAACTTTTATACATCAAAGTATACTTTACTCACTTATATAGATATAAAGCGTTGCTGTGTCTGTGAGTCCACCAGAGTCTACCACCGTGACCGTGCACGTGACTGTCTCTGTTGTACTTGCTACAAAAATAAACAAGACGAGACAAAGAAAAACCTTAAAGTCAGATTATCTTTTAAACTGAGGCGAGGTGTCAGTTCATTTTTGGCATTTCCGAACAAAAAACAAGCTTAGCAGTCTTGTTTTGTACCCGTACCTCACTCCTTAACTTTGCCGCAAAGTTCGCTATGAAACTTAAGTATAACAATGAGTCGGATAGATAGTGTAATTGTAACATTCGCCCCTCCTTAATAAATATGTACTAAATATGTCTATAAATTTAAAACATGTAGGAATAAAATCTTACATTTCAAAACAGCATATACATTGAAGCAAGCATTTCAGGTAGACGGCCTTAACAGATAAAACTGTCCCATACTGCCGCTAATGTTTTGAAACAACTAAGCTATTAGATTAAAAAAAACGGTACATCGTGATCACCTTACAGTTCTCCAGAACATTATCTGTATTTACCTATACTATAATCGGACTGGAACGAAACTTGTCCCGTGGAGGAGTCCATATAAAACTTAGCTGTGTCAGCCCCGCAATTTATAGAGTACGTTTTTGTATCACCATTATCTTGATCTCTAACACCATATGAAGGCGTGCCTATAACATCGTTTGCCTAACAGATCAAAGAAAAAAGGTTATCTTTTTATACAATTACTTTAAAATACATAATTATTAATTTTTACAACCGAACCGTCATGTTGTTTTGGACAATGGTGAAGTTTTGAACAACACACGCAACAAAAACAATAAATGTTGCACATAGATGACATCGTGCGAAATACTGATAACCAACAGAAATAATATAAATAACAGTGAATTAACGGAATCATTTTGCAAATTTTTGAAAGCCCTATTACAATTTTTAACAATTTCAAACAATTACAATTTGGTCTTTTTCTTTTTTTGGCCCCAAGGCTTTTTTTTCCCCTTCCCGATAATATTTTTTGGGAAACCCTAGAAATTTTGTGGATAAATATTAAAAAAAAGGCAATTGTCAATTGTTTGGAGTTTGTAGTTTGTCACGTGCAGAGAATTTTGTTATTTATGATCGTTTTTTTACCAGAAAAATGACTTGGGTATGTGGATCCCAAACTGCCGCCCGAGATATGACCAAAAACAAAAACGTTTTAAAAGTTCTTTTTCTTTAAAAAAACAACCATCAAAAAACATTAAACAAAAAACGGTAAAAAAACAAAAATACAAAAAAACCTAACGGAAAACTAAATGAAAAAAAAGCGACATTTTGTATTATTGTTCATCAAAATGCGATTTTAAACCAATCCTTTTTCTTGTAGTCGGGACCAAAATGTTTGTTTAAGGTTAGACAGCGAAAAAAATGAAGGGGGCCCCCGTTCACCCTTTTTGACGTCAATCATAACCGGGTTGAATATTTCCCCATTTCAGTTGGGCCCCTCTTTCTTTTAAAATTGGGAAAAAACAAAACGTTTTTAAAGGGTGTTGTTTTCCCCGCGGGTTTTGAAAAAAAGTTCTCCCTAAATTCCAAAAAAAGGGTTTTTTCCCTTTACCCTTAAAAAATGGTTTTCCCCTTTTTTGTTACCTTGAAAAAACAAAAAACAACACCTTTAAATTTTCAACATTTGGGGGGTTCCCCTTGGGTTTGGGAATTTAAGAAACTTTTTTCTTTCAAAAAATTGTTTACCTTTGTGGATTTGGAAATTTTTTTCAAAAAGGCTATTTTAAAATTTTAGGAAAACCATCCAGCTCTTAAATTGGAAGGGTCGGGGGGAAATTCCACTCAGGCAAACCCCTTTTGGCGCCCCCGAAATAAAGCACGAAAAAGGGGTTCCTCCACCCGTTAAAAACAGATATTGTGTCGGCGTTTTGACATTTAAAACCCTATTTAATCCCCAATCAATTTAAAAATTCCAAACAGGGCAAAGAAAAACATTTCCCATCAAAAAAAACAACCCCAAATCAATTTATACTGGGATTTTTTTAAAAAAAAGATAGTTTAAAATGATTAAAAAATGGGGGATTACTGTATTCGATGCAACTTAAAGGGAATTTTTTGTTTTTAAAAAAAATTTTTAAAAAATTATAAATTTAAAAAAACCATCAAAGAAAAATATGGGAAACTTCCCCGACAGGGGTTTAGTCATGGAATTTAAAATCCATGTTTTTGCATCTTGGGCTTTAGAAAAGAAAAAAGCAAAAATGAGGAAAATTTAAAGGAAATGTTTTCTTGGAAAAGTGTATTTAAATTTTCCAAAAGGAAAATTGTTAATCAAAACACTGGATTTCGTTAATATCTGAAATAAAACTCACACATGTCTTGAATGATTGAAATCACAATTAAAAGCTTTTAAATAAAACTGAATAATGCCAATAAGTAGTATTGGCGTCTCTTTAGTGGGCCTAAAGAGACACCTATACTTAACTGATATATTAAAACTTTGTTTATTTATAAATAAAGAGGTACAATTAGTTAAGTTTGATATGTTCTTTAATATAATGTTCGCTAAAGATGTGTGAATTTCTTCATAGGTTAAGTTACGAATGATGGATTCAAAACGAGTTTTCATGAAGTTGATTTCGGAAGTTTTTCAAAACGATTTAATTCAAAAAAATTAAATTAAAAAGAATCGTTGCAATTTACAATGATGAAATATTTGAATTCACTTTTAAGTTGAAAAATTATTTAAAGTGCCAAAACTTTAAATTCATGAAGCTAAAATTGTGGGCATTCGTAAAGCTGAAATTTCGAGTTTTCGTAATTTTCATATTTTCATGCCAGATGAAATGAATTTTTAAACAATGTTGAAATGAACCCTCGAGACTTTCGGACAAATAGTAGATAGTTCGCGACATTCGTGAAATCAGCAATATTCTAAGAAAACAGTCATGTAAAAGCAGAGCTAATCAATTAAATATGTATTATATTAAGACTAACCTCTTATAAGCACAGTTAATATTTTTGGACTCGCCGTATTTTTATCATCGGCAACGGTGATTTCTATATCGTAACCGACAGTGTTATAGTTCGAAATATCTGCATTTAGCTGAATTTCTCCGGCTGCAATATTATTAAATATAATGTATGTGAACAAGTTTTGAAGTTCAAAAATCTAAAAAAGAAACAACAGAACAAAAACAACAACAACAGAACAACAACAAAAACAAAACAATATAAATGTATTTAAGCAATGTCTTTATAGTTTATCAAATATGTGTAAAAATAAATTCAGAGTCGATGCAACTTAAATAAGAAAAAAACAAGCAATTATCATAGCATTGCAAGCAATCCATAAGTCCCCTACCGGTAAGAGCCCAAGCAACATTCTGAAGGGCCATTGGCCATTTACTTATGTTCCTACTTTTAGAAAATTGTTGAAAAAGTTCTTTAAAAGTGATCACAGGAAACAGTTTTTATGTACAGACAGACTGACTGAAGGACACTCTAAAGTTATTTTTAAACATGTTATCAAAATATCAACATTTATAAAATCCTATCATAATTGAACGAAGTTTGGGAGTAAAAAAATTCGTACCAATTTCTCAAAACAAAAGTCCCTAAGTTCAAAAGGGGCTTTAATTCTGGAAAGTAGACTTGCTAGAGTATTGAACACTCACAAATGTTGAGTGATAATAAGAACATTTATATGAAGTTTGAGGTAGATACATTCAGAAAAAAGAAGTTATTAAAAAAAAGACAATGTTTTTTTCATGAAAAATTTTAAGTTCAAGGGACGGTAATTCTGATAAATTTTGTGCTAGAGTTGTAAAACCTTGTCACATATTGATGTGGTTTTGATGACAAGCAAACTTATATTTAAAGTTTGAAGAAAATACCTTAAGAAATATGAACTTAAGTGAAAAAACTTAAATACTAGAATCAGAAATCTTGAAATTCAATATATTTGTTGCCATAGGCAACCGAAGAATTTTCAACATAGGAAGATAAGAAGAAGGAATGTGCATAATTTCCATACTGCCATCTACCCATATGATCAAGTTTCATAAACATTTTTCAGTACTTTTTTGTGTTATCACTGGATCCAGTTTATGTAAAAATTTGCCATATTTTCAGTCTATTTGTTGCCATAGCAACCAGAATTTCAACATAGGAAGAAAAGCAAAAAGACGTGCATAATCTCCATAGCTGCCAAAATCTATTCATATATCAAGTTTCATTAAAATATTTTCAGTACTTTTTGCATTATCGCGGGATCCAGTTTTGTGGACGGACGGACTGACGGACGGACAGACGGACAGACGGACGGAGGGTAAACCTAGAGTCCCCTCCGGTAAACCGGTAGGGGACTAACAACCCATACTATTTTACAGACACAGCGTCATCGGGATATTTAAAAAAAAATAAATAAACAACTTACGACAATCAAATGTAGATATTGCTTAGTAAATAATACTTCATACTTATTTAAATAAATACAAAGGACATAGTGATTTCTGAAAACAACATTTGACGAAACATTGTGGTGTCCGAATTAACATGCAACATAAGACGAAACGCTTTGATGTCTGATTGAACATGCCACATTAGACGAAACGTTGTGTTGTCCGCACCTATATACAACTTGGGACGAAACATTATTACTGTCTGAACTTACATGCAAATATGGTGAAAGGACATGGCGTAGGATTACATGTCATAGTATATGATATCGTGTCATCTTCAGCGTCTGTAGCGTTAACTGAGAACACATTGGTACCAATACCATCTGTTGTTGATATAGTTGTTGCAGCTGTGAACGAAACAAGAAGTAATTCGTAATAAGTATAACAATACAACGCATCCAAACATTTATATAAAACAAGTTTTATGAAAGGTTTTGACCGGTTTCTTTATCCAAGATCAAGTATCATTATGGTAAATGAACATTTGTCAAATATGGTTATAGTTAAGCACCAGAGAGTGATTAGTGATGTTGATATCTCGATTAGGTAATCGAAGATGACATTGTTTTTTAACTACTTGGCAATAACGCTTTAAAATGTATGTTACTCTTTAACCAGTAACATACTGAACTTATTTAATGAACTTTTCCAATCTGAATTTTTGGAGCTGTCGATTATCAAATTTAGGGAAATTAATCAAACATCCGAAGTTGGTAAGCTATTAAATAGAATTTGGTCAGACAGGATAACATCGGTGTAAGTAAAGAAAGGAGTCCCTAATAATGTCACGAGAAGAGTATTTATATTTTAGAATTATTGTTAAACTTTAATACAGCTGCCGCATCATTTAGTAGAGGGAGTTGAAACTGGATAGACTTCAAGACGACAGATAAAACATCTAAAACAAAGAAACGCAATCTTCTATTCACACTGCTTATCGGTATTATGAAAATCTTGAAACCATTATACACAGATTAAAAGCCCATATAACCCTAAAATTGTTATTTTTATTCGTTAAATACTTTCATCTTTTTATTAAAAATAAAACTAAAAATCAAAACAAAAAAACACACACACAAAAAAACAAACTAAAAAGACAAAACAAAAAAAAACGGTATAATAAATGACTAAAATGACTACAAATGAGAACAAAGATCAACAAGGCAAGGTGGCGTTCACAACCGACACAACCCAGCCACACAAACAGGGGACGCAGATGACATCGAACCAAATACTAAGCAATTCTTTGCCTTTTTGTCATTAGTAAACTTTTAGTAATTTAGTACTTTGTATGGAAGACAAAATACAACTTTGTTGAAGATTTCCTACTTTTCTACATGTAACAAATTACTTCATATTCAACACTGGTTCTGAATGAGATCATATCATATATCTTTAACTGAAATATTTTAAAACAGAGATAGGTCGTTTTCTTCAGAACGTCAATTTCCGAAACTAAATTTGCCTTTATATTTCGCGTATATTTTCAAAGTTATCATAAAATCGCCTAGATTTTTTAAACAGCAATTATTGTTATTTAAATTGTAATAATAATGGGATTTTACTTGTGATTTTTTTTCTAATAATGATAATTCTTATTCATTTTACACAAACCGTATTTCATTACCTTGTAGATTGTGAATCACAGGGGCCTGATTCTTTACAAGATAAACATAGAACGTCCCCGTATTACTGTCTTTATAACCATCATTACACTTCACTGTGAACGTATAACTTCTTTGAGTATTATAATCCAAGTTTGGGGTGTCATCAACATATATACCATATTCTGAAAATACAAATTACAAGATTTAATCCGACTTTAAGTAACTTAGTGTTGTTTTTCCCCTTTTTTATCTATTGCAAATATTGGGTCTACAATCTTTCATCTCACGTCGCATATGCATCTCATTTTATTATACACTGCACTTTATATTGTCGCTTTTCGTTCGACAACCGTGATGTTAAAATTGCTGTATAAACATGGCTGCTGTATAAGAAATAAAATTTCTAAAAAATGATGTGTCTTCATAAAGATTCCTGACATGTTATACAGTCGTATATAAACGGTTGTTTGCAAAATAATCCTCGCTTAGGGGCTCGGTTTATATTTAAACAACCGTTTATACAAGGCCATATAACCTGTCAAAACTCCTTATAACCAATAAATGGGTATAATTGTTGCCTGATATAAACCTACATGTACTCATATTGTCTGAACTTTAAGTACACATGCTTACAATCACTTTTGTATTGTTTTATATGTGGCACCGGTGATATATATAATCAAATTATTTAATAAATACTGTTCGGCTGTGCAAAAAAATGCTTTGTATATTAGACAAGCTGTTTACATCACAAAGATTGGAATATATAGATAAAATTTTGCATAAAATACATATACTACAGCAATCTTATAGATCTATTAAGATCCATGACAATGAATTTGAACACCAAATCATCTTTGTACCTGAAGTCCCTGAAATCTGGCTAATACTGAATGGGTCAGTTACCGCTGGGCTAAACACACATGTGACCGGGTCGACAGTGTCTGTGGCATTGATAGTGTACAAGAGTTGTTTTGTGGTGGCATCCTCACTCAGAGTAACCGCCGCGGGCATGTCATGAAGAACAGGGGCCTAAAATATTAAGCATAAAAGCATGTCAAAAAAAGAAACTTTGATATAACAAACCGAGCGTATATTGTCTTGGATCTTTTGGCAAGGTTTGGAATAAAGGCAAGATTGTTTTTATGAGGAAACAAGAAGACATTGTGCCACAAAACCTCTGTTTTATTTTGACACAAATTTTATGGCTATATCAACCAAAGTGTCTGGAAATGTTTTAAATAAAATCTAAAACTGAGCTTCCTTGTCTATGTTATAATGACACCAACACACAAAATGTGTAAAACATAGGTTCAAATGACTATTTTTAATGCAGCTTACAATCATTTAGTTTACACAAATTTCATTTAGTTCGATTGTGTTATAAGCTATAAGCTTATTGAAACACTCTCGGATCCTTTCCTGGAACCAACCCGTACTAAGTAATGAGTGTAAAATTACTTGCTCAAGGACACAATGGCTACTCGGGTCACGGCCATGATTTCTCTTTTTCGCATAATCTTCAGTACTTGTTCGTTCCAGGAAGTGGTCTCGAAAGTGATTTATATGAATTGTAAGAACTTGTTTCGCAATCGAGCTTAAATAAGTATGTTTAAACTAAACTGTTGAATACCACATAAAATGAGCAAAACAATTAATTGAAAAGAAAAAATTCGTACATTTAGAATAATTAGAGATTTTTTATATAGTCATTTATAAAAAGGTTACAACTGTTTTGCCATGAAGAGGCAACACATATAGAAATTGTGAAATAAGGATTTAGTGTCTTTCCGCCATAATCCGGCGATTAAAAATACTTTTCACTTACTTCGTTAATAATTTGGACATCAATGGTAATTGAGTCGGTGTTTCCACAGAAATCTGTGACCGTGAATATAAGACTTTCTGTTGAATCGGGTCCGGCCAGTGATGAAGCAACAGATAAAGTTCCTGTTTAAACAATAAATATACTTGGTAAATATTGATGAAAACACGCGTATTTTCATTTTCCGTGTGTTCACTGGTGCCGGACTACTTTCTATGCCAAACACAAAATAAAAGTAGAAATTTTAAGAATAATAACGTCAAAAAAGGGAGCAAAAGTATATAATAAACAGATTTTTTTTTCTATAAATACAAGATTACTTTTCATGCTATTCATGAAACATTTATTTTCATACCACTTAACAAACTTAATCCTGTATTTGTAGAAAAGGTGAGCAATAGTATATACAGTCAATAAATAGTAAATTCAAGTTTTTCCCCTATAAGTACATGATCATTTTTCATCCTTTGATATGAAAATTATCATACTACTTCATGTGTTACTAAACTGCCACTCATGGAAAATTTATTTTCATACCACTCAAACAAATTAAATCCTGTATTTATAAAAAAAGATAAAATGAAAAAAAACTTGAATATCCTTTGTATATGTTTGCATAAAATAAAAGAAATACTATAAGAAATGTCCATAAAAAATTCAGAATCAACGCATTTAAATAAAAAAAATTGAATTGAGGAAGTGGTGTATCAAGCAGAATGGAATAAATAAAGTTTTTCTGCGTTTTTATCATAATATGCCTCAAATCAATGCTAATCTTTAGGAAGATTCCGATAAAGTTCCATCCAAATAGTATGGCAATGTTAAATGTATAAATATAGAAATATAGCAATTAAAGCTTTCAAAGACACTTGAAATCTACAAATAAAAATGCAAAATAAGACCTTAATCCAATAAAATAAAAGATTAAAGTGAAGATATAAAATAGTAAAAGATATAAAGTAAACTCAATCATATGCCGATTAAAACATGCATGGAAACTAGACTATGGTACAAAAATAGTGTCCTCATTTGTCCAGATGCCATATTTCACAATCATCAAAGACTTAATAACTACATGGTATATATCGTTCGTACAACCTTTTTTAATATTATTTTAATTTGTTTAAATTTTATTTATGCAATAAATTATACATTAACAACGAAATGTTACAAATAATTCTTACAACATTTCTAGTTACCTGTTCCTACCCCTTCGACAAATGTAAACTTCGAATTAGCCGTCATTGTTGTGGTCAACTCATCACCAACATCAGGGTCTGACCACGTGATGGTAGTTATAAATGTCCCGATCGCAACATTATTCAAAATAGGAAAGACACTGTTATCTGCTGGACTATCGACAGTTGGACCTGTTCCTGTTTGGAAGTGATAATATGCGTTTCATATATATGTTTTCTTTTTCAAATTAAACAACTTAACTGGTTACTTTAAAGTTTCAGTAACATTTTTATCACGATTTGTAAGTGTCCCAATTCATCGCAAGACCGATTCATATTTCAAAGTAGGGTTCGGGCGCTAACTATGGTTACAGTTGTTCGAGAACTTACAATGATTAGACTATAGTGACGTCACGAATATGTATTGTAGCCGAACCTTCGCCATATACGCGCCCCCTCTAGCTCCAGATCATCGAGCAGTGCATCGAATACAGCCAAACTATAGTTAGTGCCCGAACTATGCGAACACTAGATCACGTTGATAGGCATTTGGACCTTGTGCCAACTTTAAGCACCGGGTATAATTCACCGATAGTGATTGAAAAAGTTTAACTTGTCTTTGTACTGATCCTCTCTCACCTGATATACCACACGACATTATGCGATTTGCTTCGATACAACGGACGGTCCAGATTTACACTTTTTAACTCGACTATTCGATAAGAATAAGTAGAGCTATTGTAGTCACCCGAGCGTCGGCGTCGGCGTCTGCGTCGGCGTCTGCTTAACCACTAATGTTAAAGTTTTTGTAATACCTCAAATATTTTCAAAGTCCATTGACATATGTCTTTGAAACTTTGCACACTTGTTCACCATCATGACCCCAACCTGTTGACAGGAGGAGGTAACTCCATCAAGCATTTTGACAGAATTATGCCCCATTTTCGACTTAGAATTTACGTTAAAGTTTTTGTAATACCTCAAATATTTTCAAAGTTCATTGACATAAGGCTTTGAAACATGTTGAAATTTTATACTCTTCTTTGAGAGCATAATAGCACTCTCTCCAATGCCTATAACTGTAATATTGATTTAAAGAGAAAATTTGCCCTTTTCTTTACTGAGAAAATTAAACCTTTTAATCAAGGCTTTCTTTACTATCAAGCACTAAGAATAGTCGAGCGTTGCTGTCCTACCGACAGCTCTTGTTTTTAAATATCTTATTACTTTTGATGACATACCTATAAGAATGTTTCCTGGGTAAAAAATCAATATTCTTTTAGTTAAGTGAAATCATGTCAATACCTGATTGTTCAAACACGCAGTTTTACTTTTTGTTAAATCTCGCTTAAATACTTTGTATGGGTTATTTACTAGATTAAAATGCCTCTACATAGTATACCATTTTGAATAATGAAATATTTAAAAAAAAAAAAGGTTATGGTAGAAAATAAAACCTGGATCGTCTTTTGTTTTGCTTTTTCCAAGCAGATTGCAAAAGTAACGTGATGTAGGCACCGAGAGGATAGGACTAACACTAAACACGCTATTGATTGATTATTATTATATAGATTGTCTTGGAAACGATTTTTATAGGCCTTTTTTATTAATGATGAAAAGTAAAATTTAGGCATTTAAAAAGGGGCATTTATGGAAAGGAATTTTGTAACACCTATTTTCTTATTAAACAATATATACCTGATCATTTAACGATTGTTAACAAAGAACTAAATTTGCTTTTATGGGGTAGCTAATTCGTACAGTACCAGGTAACAGACTGACGAAAAGGAAAACAAAACCATTATTTAAGGTTAATTAATTATGTTTACCAGCTTGTTTTGTCATATCAGACATATGGCAAAACAGGGCCCATTTAAAGATCTATTAGGCTCAAGTTTGATATTTGAATTGCTTTAGCTTTAAATTCAACACACTATATGTAAAGCGTGCATGCTTAGTGTCTATAGAAAACCTAAAAAAAACCTGACATTTTTTAAGAAAAACCAGTAATAGGTTATAATGCATTTTCTCAAACATAGATTGTGCATTCTCGAGTTCAAATTTAACATACAATGTTTACATATACAGTAAAAATTACATAGATTTTATTTTGCCTCTCTTGGTAACACAGCATTTTGCAATTATACAAAAAAAACAAACAATTGTTGCATGACAAAAGTTTTTCACAAAATCGTAAAGCAAGCGTACCTCCATTTGCCTCAGCTCTTATAGCATATGTATTACTAGCGTCAAAAGTTGTAAACCACGTGACCGTACTCAAAACTGGGGGTCTTGTCATCGCTTGAGTCGTGACATCAGGTGACCCTCCGGCCCCTTTATGTTCAATAATGTTGGCTCCGTCCGCAAACCTTTATTATATATAGAATATGATAAAAAAAATTATAAATTGCAACTAAAAATTATTTTTTGAACTTCCTTTGACATAGTACTAAGTGTCTCTATAAACTTAAACGAAGAAATGAATGATCTTTTACAGTCACAATTCAATGCAACAGACACTTACTATGACCAACATCTTTCAGAACGCTGTTTACGTGTAATGTGATTTTAATGCAAATATTTTGATACATTTCTATCTTGTAATTTAAGCACTGAGTGAATTCAGCGAAGAATAAGAAACGAAATGAAAATATCTCTGGCTAATAATGCATCACTGAGCAGCGCAATTCAAATTCAGCTGGTATTTTACACGTTTGTATAAACCGAAGTGTTCCAAGAGCAGTTACATAGAATATATGTCATTTAATTTTGAGGTATCATTCCTTGAGTTTGATATTTGCTACTTTTAGGTCACTTCAAGGACAGATAAATTATACAAAAAATAAAGAAGAAATGTAAACAAAGAAACTAATCTTAACCGAGTTTTAAAACTTTTGTACAAGGACCTGAAAGGCAATGAGCGACATGAAAAGCAGAAAAATAAGTCCTTGTCGTAGCTTTTGATCCTACTCTCTTCCTTACGATGAGGAGCAAGTACAGGTGCTTATTCCAGGCAAGGGCAGAAACAGGGGTAGAATTATCGACCCCCTGTCCATATAATTGATCTTATTGGTCTTTGGCATTGAACCCGCACAACAGTAAAGGGCATTGGAATTGAATTCACTAGCCTTAGCGTCATGGATATGAAAACAGCGACCTAAAGCCACCGACCACAGTGACTCGTAAATCTTGAGTATAATTGAATTGATTACCATCCTATCCTATCACCAGGTCGAACGGAAATTTGATCCCCAGCTGCAATAGTTATCGGCGAGTTTGTGCCTAGTACTGAAAATGCAAAGCAAAAATATCATGAAATTTCCGTGCAAATAGCTTCAAATGACTTGTCCATCTTTCACTCTGGACAAAATCATTCATCATTTTCAAGGAATTTCATGTACATTTATACTTTTTTGGAAATTTTAACAGGACATCAAAATAAAAAACTTTTAAGATATAAAAATAATAGCGTTTCTTATACATTTTGGGTATTTAACATGTTCAGATGTCATATCAAAACTTTTCCCTTTTCCTTTTATTAATAATTTATTTTCCCTTTCAAATAATAGTCAAACATACTTTTGTTAATAAACTACATACCTGAAGAATGTGTTTAAATACAATATTATGTTTGAACAAACTGACTAGAGTTTCAATATACATAATTACATGGATATGATTGAAAAATTATACACTGTAATTGATTCTTATTGTGGTATATTCGTAAAGAAGGAAATATAAGCGAGGTTACACTAATAACGTCTAGTCTCATTTAATTATTAAATCTCATTTCAAAATCGATATCATTCTATACATTCAATAACTTCAATTTGAAATAAAGTTGCGAACTTAAAGGCACGTCATCAAGAAAACGATATACAAGGTTGACTGCGTCGTTTTTATATGACTTTCCAAGGCAGTACCTGTGTGACTTAGACAGAAAAAATAACCTGAGCATTAACCTATATAGAAACACATCTACTAGGAAAAAAAAATTCTAGGTCATAGTCGCAAAGAAGTTTTACTGATCATATTTACTAAACATATTTTCATTTAACTAGTCATAAAAATTCACATAAAAATATTAAGAATGTTGCAGAATTGTTCACATTTAATATTGTGAAATATACATTATACATGGATATGATAATTTGAACAATTCTAGTCATTCTTAATATTTCAGACATTTGTTAATTAAAACAGAGATAGTTTTAGGTTTTAGATACTACAATGTCCATGTTTTTATATCAATAGCTATATATAGTCTCTTACAAATGATTTATTGATTGGTCACTCATGTGTAAATTGTAGATTAAAACTGTAATTAATATGTATATGTACTGTGAGTGTGACTGTAATAAAACTATTCTAAATTCATCTTGTATTGTAATTCCAATAAGTCATATATAATATGTCATTCCCTGTTTTGGGGTTTTGTTGTTGTTTTGTTGTTGTTGTTGTTGTTGTTTATTGCTAATACACTGTTTTTAAAGTTTGAAGGTTGATTTTCCCATCAGAACGGCAGCACCACATCAGTGTGAATTTCATAAAATGTTATTTAATTTTAGTGAGTTAAAGGAATGAAATAGAAAATATATTTCTTTATTTTGACATTATACCCATCTTTGTGGAAATAATGAGTGTACAGGTAAAAGTAAAACAAGACAATTTCATTTTTCCCGAAACTGTTTTTAATTTTCTGTTCTTATTCACAAAAAAAACCAATTACCTACGTGACTCATGAAACTTCTATAAATATCCCTTTAGAATGTATCTTTTACATTCAATTGATAATAAGAGTGTGGTAGTATTAATTTTTAGGCAGTTTGTATATTTCATCCTTATTATTATTATTATCATTTACTTTTGGTTCATGGCCGTTATAATAGCCAGTCGCTTGAAGTATGTAACAAATTTGGCCCGACTTGACAACGAAAAAGAAAATGAGCATAATGTCAATTAAAATGTTGCCAAACCTAAACGCCAAACTGCTGTCACATATAAGAAAGTAAAATATAAGAAGAAGACGGAAAAATAATTTTCTTTGTTTATGAAAATAAACAATTGTAAGCGCATTTGACATTGTTTGATGCAATTAAGTAACTTGCAAAGTGTTGGTGGATACATGTTTATCATTTGGATGAAAATAGACCTTTAAAGTTATATCTTGCTAGTCCTACGTATTTTTATCAACCTTTACAACAAAACTATGTTCTTACCGACACTTTCTACATTTTCTCCTACCAGCTGATAATCATTTCCGGTAGTTGGTCGCCATACTTGTAAATACACTGTCCCAGCTAGATTCGCTACCAACTGCCACTCAGTTATTGTGCCGCAACAGTCAATGTTATAGTTGTCTAGATTTCCGCGCAAAATATACCCAACGTCTAAAATGAAATGTTAAAAAGTCTATGAATTTGTTATTTTACAAAATTTGGACGGTAAATATCTTAAAACAAACTTGTCGTCTTCCAATCCTGATCACTATATATAGGGACATGTTTAAAAAAAGTACTGACTAAGTAGCCAACAATATAGACTACATGATCGGATGGCCTGTTAATGTCGGTCTGTTGGTCGTATGGGGAAAACTAGTCGCCGTCATCAGGTTCAGACCTAAATCACGCCTGGAAAGGCATCAAAGACAAGTTTTACTTTTACAATTTAACTTTGACATAAAAAATAACAATAGTGTTAGAACTTCGTTGAAGACATACTTACGTGATCAGATATATATGTTTTTTAAACTGTTTAAATAAACGAATTTATTAGTCATTTTTATATAAAAAAAAATTCAAAATCTAGAGTGTTTTATATTGGAAAACAAATTGACATTAGTTATTTGTAGAAACCATACTTGAGTTGCCATCAATTTTGCCAGCCTTTCCTGCAGGATTTTGCTCACCAATCACTTTGGCATTACCTTAAATACATGAACATTTTGTGAATAAATAAGCAGTTTGAAAACAAACAAAACATCATCTTAAAATCACAAAAATTACACAGAACTTCAAAATAATTATGTAAAATACAACGACACCTTTTTCAAGTTATTTGTGCACGACTCAGACCACAAGGCAATTACACAAGGGCCAGATGAGAAGATAATTTATATTTAACAAGGTCCGATTAAATAAATATACTAGATATATAAGAGCTAACGAATTCAATGCATTAAATAAGGGCCGGAAAAGAAGGGCCGACGGAATAAATACATAAAATAATGGTTGATGAAGGAAGAATTTACAAGAAATATCTTTAAAAAAGATACTAACGGGTTAACATTCATCATTATGTTATTTCAAGGTTGTTAATGTTAACAATGTTTGCATAACAATCATATAATTATTCTTGTAGCTAAGAAATACCTATTTTGTAAACATTGAAAATAAATTATAACATTTTCCTATTGATGATTATTCAAAGTCGGACAGCTTCTATTTAAGGTGTCCCTTTTCATTGCTTTACGGTTGACTTTATAAGTTTTGTAATCATTTACAAAATAAAGTGATTTTAGAACTATCCTTTGTATTTATTCATAGTGGCAAAACTATCCCTTATTTTTTATCTTATAGCTTTCCCTAAAAATTTATTTAAAAATGGTAAGAACTATCATTTACATTTTTTTAGAATGGCTAAAACTGTCCTTTACATTTAATTTTAGAATGAGCAATAAGATTCGTCGATTTCAGTATATAATTCTGAAATGACATTCATAATTATATTCGGTCCTTCCCTGTTAATTTTACAGGGAGTCATTCTGATCGTCCGAAAAGAACGTGGTTAATGTAATAATAAAGAAAAATAAAATAACCATATAACGCGAAACATTTATTCTGTCGCTACAAAAACGTCACGTGACCTATGATGACGTAATTTTAATATTATCTTGCTGATGTTTTGTGATTAGTAACAGAACAGAACAGAACGAGGGTGTTGCTACCTTACACAATTGTATCGTCATTGATAGAGAAATACTGTTGTAGCTACTTATATTTTTGAAATATCAATAATACATTCACCTTCTGGAACCGAAAGAAAGAAGAGCAAATCTACCAAATAAAACATGTTATAAGTTAATATCTGAATGAAAACAATGGGAAAAAAAGCATTTAGTTACAACAGCAGATCAATTGATTTTATTTCATGTATTTTTTTTATTTATTTACATTGTATTTATTTATTTACTTGTTTATTAATCTATTCGTTTATTTATTTTCATCTATTTATTTATTTATAATAATAGATCCGTTAATCTTATTTCATTTTATTTATTTATTTTTTATTTGTTATATATTATATAGAGGATATTCAAGTTTTTTCTATAAATACATGATTTATTTTCATCGAGTGGTATGAAAAATAAATATTTCATGAGTGGCGGTAGCCACGAGTGAAATATGGTAATTTTCATGCCACAAGATGAAAATAAATCATGTATCTATAGAAAAAACTTGAATTTTCTGTTTATTATATACATTTTTCTCTTTCTGGATATAAAAATTTGCAAGACTTTCCCTTAAATTTTGAGTACTGGCAGAATTCAAAAGAAAGTAGTCCGGCAAGACACCAGTGAAAATACGGAAAATATGTTTCACTGCAGTGAAAAATAAATTTTTACAGTGAAAATACGGAAAATGAAAATATGCATTTTATTTCATCAGTATTTCTCAAAATTTCATTTAAAAGTATATAATAAATCATATTATTTATTTATCTATTCATTTGTTTGGTTTTACGTCGCCAACACATTACAGATCATACGGTGACTTTCAGCTGTTACTGGTTTAGAATGACCTCAGGTACCTTTCCGTGCAATATTTCAAGAATAGAAACAAAAATTGATGTTAGTTATTAAAATATATAAAAAATAATATACTTACATTGGGCATAGATTGTTTCAAAACAACCAATTAAAAGAAAAAATACAATTATCACTTTCATATTTTAAAAATTTTAACTTCGTCACCCTGTAAGTCAACTACTAAGAAAAAAATATCATTGTTTTTTTCATTTTAAGAATATTACGTATTGCGAATCCTATTTCATCTTGAATGTGAAATATACGTATATTATTGTTTGGCTTACTTTTTAAAGCATTTTACAATATAACACTTCTGCTTTAGAATTTCTCGAATACGAAAACCACTGGCCTATTTTCAACCCCTTTCAGGCATTGAAAAAGCTTTATTTAATGTAAAACGAAGATGCATATTATAAATTCATCCATCCGAAAACTTACATAAAAGTCTTACCTACATATTTCAAACATCTGGAAGGAGGTAAACAGAGTGAATCGATTTTAAGTCAGATTCTTTTGTAACATTTTGTTTACTTTTTCACAACAGGAACAATTATATAATAGTTTTATCATATACCTGTCCGCAAGAAAAAGCACATGTTTCACGCGAATGTTCAGTTAATATCAAGAGAATAAGATACAAAAGACATTGCAAATATTGTCTCAGTATTGTCATACAGTTGAATGGGGGGGGGGGAGAAATAAAAGGAAATAAATACACACATTTTTGTGGTTACAAAAACGTTTACTTTGGCTTGTTGACATTTGATCAACTTTAATATATCAACGCATCATTGCGGTATAAAAGCAACATTTCCATTGTTCATTTATTTCAAAAAATCTTATCGAATCAATTATTTCCCAACTCATACAAATTCCACATGGCTTGTAAATGATGAGTTTATATCTTGCACCTTCTGGTACAGAAAGTAAATAAACTATGCTGATAGTATAAAGTCAGGTCAAATCAAGAGGACTTTAGCTTTTTCTTAAAAACCAACGCAGTAATGGCTATTTATGCATATTTTGACCACTTTTTGGTAATTTACATGGCTTGTATGGCCATTGATAATGTGTAAATGGCTTCCTTCTGGTAATTTCACAATATTACACATTCAAATACATTTTCAAAATTTTCATGGAAATTAGTATGAATCTGGAGGCGTGCTGCTTTAAGGTTATATATATATATATATATTTCTACAACTCCTCGTGATTTTGTCACTATAGACAAAGAAGAAAAAAAACCGGTGTTAAACTGCCAAGACATTCTTCAATTAAGTTTATTTTTCCATATGTCCGAGATCTCAGCGTCCATGCCGGTCCACTCTAGAAGTCTCATCGGGGAAGTCTTTTTCATGCCGATCTTTCTAAGCCCTGTCCTTCGTTTGATGGAGAAAGACAATACTGGAAAAGCATCAAGTTCCGTGACGGCTGCAAACAGGCGGTTGACATAAAACGTTAGCGCCACCTTACAGAGTTAGTCACGACAGGTCCAGCAATCACCTCTGGTACTTGAGATGACTTGACCTTGACCTGCCGTGTGCCTTCTCCGCGACGTGCACGCCTCTGGAGGGATGTGGAGAAGAACTGCCAAGAAACACTGGTTACAGACTTATATCTGTATATGCGGCTGTTATGTATTCTCCCTCGATTATATAGTTTACAAAGTCTTTAAAGCATCAATAAAAAGGCATTTTTATTTTTATTTTCAGTTCTTATAAGTAATAGAAAGAGCACCGAAACACGAGGCTATCTGATTTGTACGAGGGGGCGTAGCCCCCCGAGTATAAATCAGATTGCCGAGTGTTTTGGTGTTCTTTCTCTTTTGTATCATAGTCAAACATAAAAGCACGTTCCCTGTATCACAATATGAAACCCCGGCAAAAATGAACCAATGAACGAACATCTGGATATGACATTTCTGTCGGTTTCCCTTTCTCTGCCGTCACAATATGTAAACCCCAGCAAAAATGAGCCAATCAATGGGCATGCTCTGGAGTGCGGGTAACTAATACCCGCACTCCAGTTAACGCACTGTGCATGTATATGTATTAGGGGTGTAACAATACAGCAAAAACCGTATTGCAATATATTGCCATTTTGCTGAAGCGTATTGCAATATATTGCAATACGTATTGTCGTGTATATGTTTCGATGTAAAGATGGGGGTAACATTTATATATTATTATTATATGTATATATATTAAGTAGAAACTTAATAAAAATGTAAGGAATAAATAGAAAGTAGTGTCACACAATTTGATAAACAAAACTAGTTCGCGTGTAACCTTTCACATCTGGGCCGCTTATGTAAATTATGCCGGCCGCTTATTGACTTTTAAGTGTACTAGTTTTGTCGGAATACTTTTATCTTACGTTGGCGCCAACAAAATTTGCCAATTAAAGATTTTATGTGAAATTTTGTACAAAATTAGAAGGCAATTAAATTGAAAAATTATGATTTTTATAAAATACCGGTTTTCCAAAAATCGTACCGCGGTTCGAAAATTTTTTTTTTTCATATTGCAATATTATCCACCCTTAATATGTATTACGATTTAACCCTGACACTTTTTTAAACAAAAGGTCCCCAAAAACTATGATACAATTTTTTCTTATCATACAGATTTTAAAAAATTTATCCCACATACACTAACCCACAGATCCATCCATTTTCATTTAAATTAATTTTTTTGACAAGAGGGCATCAATCCGTAAGAAACCCGAAGGGACGTCACCCGAAGTATACAAATCATTTATTAACGCAGACGTCATTTCAAACATACAAGAATGATAAATTGGGCACTGATGTGAACACAATACAATTCATTCTAAGACGTAAGTTTTTATTGTTGAAAACTTGATAAGATAACTTTTTGTCTTATTATTTATTTTGTTTGTTTAATAATTTCCATATCTTAGCAACAGTAGGGTGCGAAATCGAACAGCGCTTTACGAAAATCGGCACCGGAAGTTATTTCCACTTGAAAAAATAACATCAGAGATTTTCCTTATTTTATCTTGTTAGAATCAAAATAATATCGATCTGATCGAGTGGTGTTAATCGGCTATTTAACACCGGCTTTGTCGTTTTGATGCAAAACATAAAAAACCATTCA